TTCGTAATTTATATAATGAAGAGCTGTATGCATTACGTTTTATCAATCACATACTGTTGAACAGTTTTTCTTTTCTTCACTCATTCATTTACTTTTATTTTTATTATTTATCTGCTTATTTGTTATGTTTGTATGTGTGTGTGTTTTTTTTTAATTTTATACCTACAAACTAAAAAAGTATATATGAATTAATGAATGGATGAATTAATAAATTAATAGTTGAATAAATGATATATGCGGTATTATTATTCTTTTATTAATCTTATTGCTGTCTTTACTTTGTTCATTACATGATGTTTATGACACATCAATCTTTCCTGTATTTGCGATAAGGGCGGGTATAATAGTAAGAAGCTTTTATATCAGTCTTGTATTTGTGATTCATTCTTTATATTTTCAGGTAGTGGTATACTTAATACGACTGATAAATTTTTTTGGTCGATAAGTCATTAACGAATTTTATTACTGCATTTTGCTGTATTTTTATTTAATTGCGCTTTGCAACAAAATATACGAGAAGAAGGAGAATATTTTATTAGCATTCAATATCCTACTTTCAACTATCCTTAGATGGCTCGATTGGAATATTGGCCTCATTATGAACTGCAAAATTATCTTTATACAATGCCATTTGAAGCAAAATTTGATATGATACAATCAACAAAATGGATGCAAGAAAATTGGTTTCATAGTATCACATCATCTGCTGCTTATGTAATTTCTATTTATGTTGGACAAAAGGTGCGTGTATTGTTTTTTCCGTCATTCTTCAAACTATATTTGCAATGATTTATTTATACCATATTTTTAAAAGTTGTTATCTCAATCTCATTTAAAAAAGTATATTTATTTATTTATTCATGTAGTTAATTAATTAATTTTGGATGCTTTCGTGCAGTTTCATTTAAAAATTTTGCATCATTCTTTCAGCTCTTGAAATGGTCATTTCAACACATTTCTCAATAGCTACAACCAGAGAATTTTTGTAAGCATAACTTTTATCTTTTGCAGTTGATGGAATCACGAAAGCCGTTTAATCTAGACAATTTATTGATAGCATGGAATCTAGGTTTAGCATTATTTTCTCTAATAGGTGTTTGCCGAATGACGCCAGAATTGTTATGGAGTGTACGGGAAAATTCTTTTGAGTATTCAATTTGCACAGCCTCATTTGCACAAGGTGTGACAGGTTTCTGGACGAAAATGTTTGCATTATCCAAGGTTTGGACTTTGAATGGTTTTAAATTTATACTCTTGAAGCAGTAGGTTATCTCTAACTGTGTTTTTAGTGACTTTCTAATTGCTATAAAGTATTTTTCTATATTTTCTTTGGTGATCCTATCATTTTAGATTGCTGAATTTGGTGACACGGCATTTATTGTATTACGGAAGCGACCATTGCTTTTTTTACATTGGTATCATCATGTAACTGTTCTCGTCTATACTTGGCATGCTTACAAAGTTAGCTTTCATAGTTATTGTCCGTTAAATGCATGCTTTTCTACTTTTACGACAGAATATGATAATATGTTGTTTTATAGCAATGCCACGAGAATGTTTCGCTGAAAAATGATGTTATAATTTTCTTTTTAAGGATCATACAGCATCAGGGAGATGGTTTATATGGATGAATTATACTGTCCATGCATTTATGTATACGTATTATGCACTTAAAGCTATGCGTCTTCGTCTTCCAAAAGTGGCTGCAATGATGGTCACAGTTTTGCAGATTTTACAAATGATCGGAGGCGTTTTCATAGGTTAGTTATGCAAATGAAAACACAAGATGAGAAGTAATTTTTCTAAAATTAAATCGGTTTTTGAATGCAAAATTTTTTTCCGCATGTTCTTAACAATTTAAAGACGTAAAACTTATATTTTAAGTTTGCTTTGCGTTGAGCAGAACTTTATGCACCTGAAGTTTTACTTAGACGACAAGATTTGGGAACAAACAGCTCGAATTTGATTTAAAGGGGACTGGTCACTTGTTCATTATCAATCTTTCAGGAATCAATATTCTACAGATTAAACTTTCTGGCCGTAGTTGTCAGCAGACATGGAGCAATTTATATTTTTCGTTTACGATTTACTTTTCATATTTTCTTCTTTTCTGTAATTTCTTCTACTATACGTATTTGAAAAAGGTACCATTATTAAAAATTTTAATATGAAAATTTTTCCAAAATGATAGTTATAAAAGAGCTTTTTGCATCGATTTTTTAGTTTATGTTAGCGTGGATTGATCAAGAACATTATTAATGCAGAACTATCATATCCTCAAGCTTTTTCTTTAAAAGAGTATTGGTTAACTTAATATCTATAGTTTTTTCATTTAGTATCTTGTACTATTTTGATAGAAGCAGAATTAACAACTACTCAGGTCTGACAAACTTCAGTATTTAATTTCCAAGAGTGTAGTTATGTAATAAAAATTTGCAAAGAGAATATGATAACTGAAGTTGTGAAAAAGTGCAATTTACATTAGTTGCAAGTGTTTTTAATTGTTATGGATTTTTAGGGAAAATGTTATGTAATTCTTTGCTGAATTTCAGGGAAACAGATACCATGCAGTGATACCGGGTGAAATTAGTGCTAAAATTAAGGATCAAGTGCAAGCCATAAACAGACCGTATAATGAAATTAGGGAAGAAAATGATATGACGATGAAAATGAAGAATCATTTGAAAAAAAGAATGGTAAAATAAGATGACGACAAAAAGAAAGAACTCATGCTGAGAAGAGTGAGAATATATTGCATTCTCATTGGTTGGGCATGTTTATTAATTATGGGATCAAACATTTGTTATAACCTATATGCATATTCATTATCATAGTATGAGATTATTAGTTTTGAAATGATCTTATTTGGATTTTGAAGGATATTTTTGCAAATTTGTAGGCATTTTTGCAATGTTTCAATATATTCAGATCAAATTCTTGCTGGTTATTTTAATTCATACATATTTATAAAATTTTTACAATTGTTGAGCTGTCTAGATGATAGTTGTTGATATGTTAGTGTCATTAATTTCATTGCATGATTTGTTTCATTTGAGTTTGCGCAATTTTGCTTCATTCTGATAAATTCCAATTTTGTTAGTATAATTTTGTGGCACTGTTCTATTGATGCTAAAATGACTTTTTATAGACACATGCATGTTTTATGTGTTTATAACGTGTCTTTGAAAAATTTTGTTTGTGTTACGGTGAACATATCAAATTAACGACAAGAATTAGCTCTGTTGTTAACTTTAAAATAACTATATTTTCTTTAAAACCGCGGGCTAAACAGAAATATGAAATTATTTTGGCTTGTTAAGTGGATTACTTTGAACGAGCTTACTATACTACTATGTAACTAGTATACGTTGGGGAGGTTGTGGCACATTTTAATTATAAAATTTATTACCCATATTGAACACAATCACGAACATTACAAGATTTTGGATCAATTTAGTCTTCATTTTCATGGGTTGTTAGTTCTAAATCTTCTGTTCTCTTCACTATTTACTGTCATTTGTGTTTGCATTTGCATTCTATCTGAAATTCAGTTCAGTTCATTCTTAGCTTAGGAGAAAACTTGAAAAAACTACTCTTATCTAAATATCTTGCTAATTTTTCGACCGTTATTTTATTATTTAGGAAGCAAAATCCCACGAAAAAGCTGAGTTAGTTTGAAGATTATATAAAGTATGAATGAAGCTTCTACATCTGTTATGATTGAGAGTAAGTTATGACATTGGTTTTGTTCTTGAAAGTATTGCCATTGCTAGTATCAATGTACAAGCCAGTAAATTAGATATGGTGCGAGTAATGAAAATAAAGCATAAAGGAGGAGGAAAAGGAGAGGAGGACTTTTTTTTTGAGAAGTTTGTGGCATAGAGAAAATAATATTGAGGATTACTCGTGCTTTTACAGTACTTACAGTCATTTTAGAGAAATATTACCCATAGCATTTCTTTTCATCAAGCATTGGATAGGACTGTAGAAACAAGGACGAATTCGCTTACGAGGCTGTTGTTGATTGAAAGCTTTCTCTGATGCATACCCATAATCATTCTCATCTAATAATCCATCATTCCTGAAAGGCTTGGTACATATGTGTTAATTTAGTTGAAATATGGTTACTCATATATTATTTATTGCCATTATTCTTTCTTAAATTTTTGAATTTCAAATAATAAAAGATGAGACTGGTTATGCGGAAGTGTGCTACAAACTTGCCTGTAAATATTGCTATATTTGAATAAATTATTGTCATTTGAATTCATCGCCTTAAAATTTTTTAAAGAATCTTTTTTGCATACATGCAAAGAGTGAAATGAAAGAACTATGAATCTGATTTGTATTACTTTTGTGGAACAAATTGTAAGATTACTGAATCAGCTACTAATTAAATACAAATGAAATAGTTGGAAAGCTTATTTGGTTATATTTCAAGTAAATGTTTTTATAGAACGAAAGGTATTGTGCAATAGTACTTCTTTCTATTCAGTGTCTGGAAATACATATTCCTGCAGTTATATATATGAACCATTTATCAAGAAATGCCTTGTTCGAATGTCTCGAGTTTTAAATGTATGTTGCAAATATTATCGAAATTAATTTTTCGAGACAATACAATCGCAAAGTCATACTAATATTAATATATTTTTCTGCTGTTTATTATCTTTCACTTAAAAAAACCTCTAAAGCTTAGATTATGCAAACAAAATATTAAGAGATAATCATGGGATAATCAATGTAAAATTCTGACGGTAGATATTTGAATTGCTGACGCTATAAACTACAACGCTTTCACAGAGCTAAACAGGTTATCATAAGTTGATTAATGTATGGATGACGATAGTATCAGTCCAAACCTTTAAACAAAAATCTTAGCTAGGAATGGTTTAACTTTTTTAGTATACTTCATCAACCAATTCATTAGCAAAAAGTTGCAATTCAAAGAATTTACAAAGCAATCGTGTGAGAATCAAAAGTCATATGTAAGTAAGTTGAATTGCACACATTCAGGATGCATACTTCAAATTAGTTAGTTCTTGATTCTTTCATAGCAACTAAAATCAAATTGTCACTTCCTTAGAAGACCGAAGAGGTGATGCAACTAGCTCTCTTGATTTAGAACTTATCACATTTAATAGAATCAATAGGGCACTTTGAAGCTCTCTACAAATGTATAAGTTAAGATGAGATTATTCTAACTGCAATTCATCTACAATCATCGTGCAGTCAAGCAGAGAAGCTTGGAATCATTTAATTCAGTGTGCAGTTTTTGTGTTTTTTCTTTTTTTTTTCTGCATTTTATTCGTTTTCTTAATCTGGAAATCTTGTCAACAAAATGCAATTACAGTTCTATGTGAAAAAGAATAAACTACTAAATAATTATTGGCAAGTCATGTAGGTTATTGAATTCGCGCAAATATTTTAAAAATAACGAGAACAACAATATTTGAAAGCGAATCCCTACATAGTACTGTGTCCAAAATATCTCTAAATAAGTCATATATATGTGATGAAGCATTCTTAGAATATCCGAATTCAATGAAGACGCAGTAACTTTGTTTTTTACATAGTAAAAAGGTCTGATGAGATCGTGAAAGTAATGAGACATAACCTGAAATTGTTGTACTGCGATCTTTTATTGGTTTATAAAACATTTTGCATCTAGTTTTGCTAGAAAACTGCTTTAGGTTTAAGGTAAGATCATGTTGCAAAAAATTTACCAAAATATTCAAGGCCTAAGATTAAATTTTCATAAAATAATACCAAAAATAAATAATAAACTTACAAATGTGATGCAGAGACTACATTATCAAAGACATCAAAACAGTTCGCTACAGAAAGCAACAGCATGTACAATAACAACCAACGTAACATAATCAGCAGCAGCCTTCTCAGAAAACTGTGAAACAAAAATCAACTAAGTTGAATAAAGATTTTAAGAGAGGAATACATGAAACAGTGAACACGCCCATTTTCCGCGTAAATCATTTTTCCGGCAAAGTAAGCGCATGCAATACACAATGAAGAACTAAAAAAAAAAGTTTACATGAATAAAACGAACCCCTTATAAACGTCTTCGAAGATATTCGGAAGTCAACCATTTAAAAATATCTTTGCCAGCATTCGATGCAAAAAAAAGAATGAATATGCTAATTGCATGAAAAAATATTTCAAAGAGCAATTTACAAAGGAGGTAAAAATGCGACTACAACTGAATATTTGTTGCTATTTTTCAAATATATGAATTTAGTAGCGCGAATCGTTCTTAAGATATGCCTTTAATATACGTATTTCACTTATAGGTCGATCTTGAGCATTTGTATCCACCATCCCTATTTTTTGCAGAACCTGCAATAAACTAATCGAATAATATAAAGCTCAAAACTATAAAATCACATATACTGCACACATTATTAAAAGACATTATACACTGTCTGGTTTTTTCAACATATTCAAACTTTATGTACTACTAATTAATATAAACTTTCATGCAAAAGTTTTATTCTTTGATTTCAATTTCTGATACCTCAATTCTGATTGCTATTAAAAATTGATGCACAGTCTTTGCTAGAACACCGATCTTCAGAGAAAAATAATAAGGACAGAAAATTGTTGTAAAAGTTAATGGAAGTCAGAAATATTGAAGTGAAAAATGCTGATAATTACTGTATTTTTTTAATACAAACAAAGCTTTCCCAACATTTGAGAATGACTTGAAACATCCCTATATTACTGCATGAAGAAATGCACAAATGAAATCAAAACTAGGGTGTCTCAAATTTTTTTCGTATGCTTAGCTATTCAACAAATAATTTTGATTAATGTATGGAGAAAAATACAAGCTAGAGAATGAGATACAATTATAATAAAAGCAGAGTAATATATTACATAATTATGTTTGTTATATTGTTATATAATGATGAACTCAACTAGTAAAGATAACATGTTTTTACATTCAAGTATCTCATCCTGGGATCTATTTCTAAACTTAACCATACTTTCTGAACTACGAACACAGAAATAATATCGAAATATAAGATATCACATTTCGATACTGTTTTGCCTCTGCAATATTAAAACTAACGACTACCTCTGAAAAATCAAAGCACAACAGTCATACATTCTCAGGAATAAAGGTTCAGCAAACAATCATGCGATGATACAACAGAAGCAAAAAGTAACACACCTTCAATCCAGCCGCGATCCGCCCAAAAATAGTATGCTTTCCATCTAAGTGCTGTGCAGGCGCTAACGTAATAAAAAATTGCGATCCATTCGTATTTGGTCCAGAATTAGCCATTGATACCACTCCAGCACCAGTATGTTTGAGGTTATCATGAATTTCATCAGGAAAATGGTCACCATATATTGAGGCACCACCAAAACCTGAAAGCATATAGAGATATGATGACCTAACACGGAAAACTGAAATGAACTTACTAAATTTTTAGAATGTTTAACAGTACAAGAAATTCATTAATTTCTCTGAAAATCAAATTCTATTAAAAATTTTGCAATACAAACCTGTCCCAGTAGGATCGCCACCTTGTACCATAAAATCCGCAATTACTCTATGAAATATAGTTCCATTATAATATCCACGTCGAGTAAGTTCGGCAAAATTTTTACACGTTTTTGGAGCATGAGCCCAGTACAATTCAATGCACATCACTCCCATACTTGAAATTAAAATTTTTTATGACATTCATAAAATGTAAATTTGTGAGATTATGAAATGAAAATATTAAGCATCATTAGTATGCTATGGAATATCATTGCTAATCTTTTAAAGCAAAATGGTAAACCGGAATAAGTATCTAATTTATTCACTGTTTCTAGATGTTTTAATGAATTAACAAAACTACAAATGGCAAAACTTCACCTTGTTTCTAAAGAAACAAACGGCGGTTTCACAGATGAAGAGTTATATCTGGTCATATTCTTGTATCAACAGTAACCACAACCTGAAATATAGCCAACTACAGAAAGTATTACAATTTTTTTTGGAAACGAAATGTGCAAAAAAAGTCACCCATATTTTATAAATATTCAATTGAAAAAATGATGCATTAACAAGCAAACGAAGGCAGGTGAATTTGGGTCACATAACATAACTTGATAATAAATAACTAAAAATCGCGGAATGCAATAAATTAAAGAATTCAAAAAGACTTTAAATTAATTAATTTAAAAGACAGAAACAGAAATATGATAAACAATATCACAAGTGAAGTGAACAAACTAAATTTGCAAATTTCTCATCAATTTTTACAAATAAAACTTCTATTTCTGATTGAAAATCATAAAGGTACGAAATTTCCCACGTGATTTTTAGAATATTTTCATAATTTAGTTTGCGTAATACCGGAACCACAAATTACGAATTTATAGATACTACTTAACAGGTACATGTAAGTAATAAGCTTAGAATTCCTAAACATAGTAGCGAAGTGTATCCTTTCCACAAAGCGTAATTGATTATCTAATTTAGATAAATATTATTAAATTAGGTAGTGGATTGCTCAAATAACTCGCTTTCGTGATTTTCTCTTGTATTTTTCATATCAAATTCAGCAACCACAAGGATTTTCTGGTTATTCTACAAAAACACAGAAGTATCTCTCGCATCATGACCGAAATCACGTTGAGCAATGGTATCCACTGTTTACCTGCTCCACAAGTTTAACGATAAAGGCTGCGTTAAATGAGAGGAGCAACTTGCAACTAGTTGACATTAACTTTGAAATAAGGTTTTAATATTGGAAGGATTTATGTACCTAGGGTCATCATCATTTTTATCTACAAAAATATATGACTTTCGTGATTTTCTCATGTATTTTTCATATTAAATTCAGCAACCACAAGGATTTTCTGCTTTTTTCTACTCCGGATGAAGGCGAGACAGTACAGTAAGGGACGATGAGCATGCTACAGCAAATTCTGGATCAAGTTATTCTTTTTTCATTGTTTGAAGAATCGAGTAATGTCAATGTGTGTGTTGAGTTAAACGATTTATTTGCAAATGTACTAATCTGTAATATTTGTATTTCATCATTAGAATATACTGGTAGCTTAATAAACATAAAATATGCCATTGAATGAATTTTATTGTTACTACATATTCAGAAATTTTGTGTGACTTAATTTTTTATTCAGATGTTTGTGGATCCAGAAATTCTTGAAGCGTTAGATGAAGAACAAAAACAGATACTGTTCATTAAAATGCGGGAGGAGCAGGTTAAACGCTGGAAGGCCAATGAGGAAAAGTATGAAAGAGAAGGTGAATACTGTAACCAGAAGTCGCGGGATAATATGCGAAGAATCAGGTGCAAATTTTGTAATTGGTTCAGTATTGTGGAACGAGGGGGTAAGGATTAAATTTGTGATGGCTTCTGGCCTCTGTAGTTTGATAGTTTCTGAAAATAATTGATATTGTTTTTTTCCTTCTTTTTTGTTAAGGTGGTTGAAAGGAGAAGATGGAAAAGATTGGGTTTGGGTTATGGGTGAACATAAAGATGATTTAACTATTGAAGAAATAACGGAAAAGCGAGCTCTTGAAGAGGCTCGACAACTTGCTGAAAAAGAAATGCTGGAAAGCATGCAGTATGTTTTTGCTTCCACAAATTTTATTGTATCTAGAATCTTGATTTATAAGTTTGACTGATGACAAGTTAAAGATTTAGATCTTCAAGATAAAAAAATACAGGCTTGTCTTTAATATTTTTATCCCCTTAGCAAGTCATCCTTCGTATATTTGGTCATTAAAATTATTTAAGTTTGATGGAACTAACGGATCATGATTCATCTTTGGTTGGACCAAATGAAGACGAAGATACGTTAAAAGAACAATTAAGTCGTATAGAGCCATGGAAAAATACGAGTAGTAAGATACAGGCATGTATTAACAGTTTCGCACTTCATGATCTGCATGATTCGAAAGTTTTCGTAAAAAATTTATTTCAGCAAACGTAATTTTGCTGGTTCATAGTTGCATGTTTATGGAAAATGCAATTTTTTTCAGACATTCCAGTTTTTATGGATAGAACAATTGAAATTTTGTCTGGATAAAGCAACTGAAGTATATGAAATTATAGGAGTCTCTTTATGAGAATGCAGATTCGTTGTTTGACAATTCAAATGGTGAAATAAATCCACCATTTTATGATGGTTCAGTCGCAAAAGTGTTTCTTAAAGGTATTTTGAAGCATGCTAGAGAAAATCTTTTGGAGCACAACGTGACTACTGAACAACCAGTTGTATTTGATGCAGTAACAGAATCAGTTGTAAGTTTTTTAACATTGATTTTCTTACTGATCTCATGATGTAGGTTTCATTTTTATTAAAAATTTCTAATTTTTTTGAAGCATTTCTTAAAAGTTTGTATTTAGACTCTATCCAAGCCTAAAACTAACGCTGAATTTTCTGAGAAAAGTTCACTGAATACAAATACCCATGAAGATGAACTCAATAAAAGAACACAAGGCTCATATCCAAATCATCTGTCTAATATTCCTGAGTCTTCTCGATTTGAACAAACTGATGTGCCGACAGATAAAAATCTACATCTAGTAGAAGTTAGTTTTATTTGGTCACTGACTCCAGCCTTCCATTCAATTCATAACATTATTCGACGTTTGTAATTAATTTGTCCAATAACTTCTACAGTGAATATTAGACAGTTCGAGTTCGAGAACTAGCATTTAATGGACTAATGTGAAATGTCTTTCAGGAACAAGGCTTGCCAGTAACGATTGCAAAATCAGTGTTCTGCAGGGATCAGCAAAATTCTCGAACTATTCCTGTAAATGTACAGCACAATCCTATCCAAGAAATAAATGCTAGTTTAGTGAAGTTTCGGTCCAACAGTAGGGAGGGACATGGCATATTAGGTAGCTTGTTACTTTATCTTTAAACTTTCACTCTGTGTATTACAATTGTTTTTGAATATATTTATTTATACTGATTATATAATGAATTGTTAGATATCGATAATGAAATCACAAAACGACAGTCTGAAATTTTTGAAAAAATCAAAGAAAAACATCAACAATTTGATCGAGAAGCAGAGCAAGAAGCAAAGCGTGTTGAACAAGTTTGGGAGGAACAAGGTTAAACAATAATAAAAAATCTTTAGTTCTATTTTGGTATTTTTATTTTATACCAATTATTCCACGGTTATGTTTTTAGAAAAGAGAGCGCGAGAAGCAGAAGCTCAAATCCGTCGAATTGCTCAGCGAGCCAGAGAACAACATCGTCAACAAAGCTTGCGCACATCAAGCTCAATTTTACCAGCTTTGAAAAATTCAGAGACCACGTCTTTAAAAGAGGCTTTGTAAGATAATACCCATGCATTTTATAAGTAAAAATTACCACCGTTTCTCTACTAGTAAATTGTAATTAGTTGATTATATTTATATTATCCCAATTTTTCTGAAATTAGTTTTATAATGTTGATTTCAGATTAGTGAAAGTCCATTTCTTCTAAATTTGATTGTTGGCAGAAAAAATTGCTGCAGAAATTATGTGAAAAAAAACTAAGCTCAAAGACTCTGTAGTTTTGCAAAATTTTAGTTTTCATGAAAGTTTCACAGGCAGTAATTTTAGGAAAAGCTTACCTCGCCCTCCAAAACCAAAATCTCGTGATGCGATAATTAGATGGTTTAGAGCTAAAGAGTTACCGAAAGGGACAGGTTTTGATCCAATTACACACCGTCCAGCTGTTTGGTTTCACGGTAACTCATTCTTCTTAACCAATAAAAAACAATCAGCTCGTTCTCGAAAACAGCAGCATTTCTAATCTGTTTTTTCCAAACACTTCGGTACTTGAGCTCGTTTTCGTTACTAAATTTTATGTGCGGGTATAACAATAGTCAGCTTTATTTGTAGGGATAATTTCAAGAAATGAAGCTGACGAGATGCTTCAAAATAAACCTTCGGGTTCATTCCTTATTCGTGTCTCAGAACGCATTTGGGGCTATACTATGTCATACGCTGTTGGTAATGGTAACATAAAACATTTTTTGATCGAAAAAATATCTCAAGGATATCAGTTTCTTGGAACAAATCAAATAGTGCATAAACATCTACATGAGCTTGTCGCATTTCATGAGGTTAGTTATCCAAATTGTTTTTGAAAATAAATGATTGTTAAGAGTGTAATTCATGCTTTTTTTTAGTTTTGAAGTTAATATCGTTGAGTTATCTACAATTTTCGTCATATCTAGCTTTCTACTTTTTTGTTTTTTTCAAATAGTGAAAAAAAAATCAACATTATAAAAAAGTTTTTGTTAGATTTCGCCAATTACTCGCTCAGGAAATGAGATATTGCGTTGGGCTGTAGGACAAGTGGATCTCAATGTGCCAGATTATGCTACCCTAATTTCTGAATAAAATTTTTTTTAGGTTGAGCATACTAATCTATTAGTTTGTCTTTTTCAAAGTGCCGGTGCTAGTGTTTCATGAGCATTTCTTTTGTCTTGTTTTTATAGTAATCATGGTCATAATAATATTGCCTTTATTTCAGTTTGCTTTTGATTAGTTTTTCACTGATCACTTAATGAAAAGTCTAAACTTAATTTATGTTCTTTTATGTGATTCGAAGGGAGTGGTTTAATTTTTTGAGTGAAAAAATCTGTGATTAATGTGACAATGAGTAATATTGTTTGAAGCTTGGATGAGCAGTTCGTTAGATGTTAAAAACGATGCCTCAACGAGTTTTGTAAATTATTGTTTGGAAGAGAATTACCAATGTGATCATTGTGAAGGATAATCGTTTAGGACTGAAAATTATCAGTGCTTAATTTTTTATTTCTTTCATGATTGAAATGATTTATATTTCAAGTCGTTATAGTACTAAGAAATTTATTGCTATGAATTCATATCCTCAACTGTTTAAAACATGAAGTTTTTATACACAAGCTAATTTTGTTATGTGTTACTTCAGTTCTTCGTTAATTATCAGTGTAAAGTTAATTTTTACTGTCGCACACAGGTTTTTATCGTATCCAAGTTTCTTGTGATCTCGCGTGCTACTTTTTAATGTGATTTTTTATTGAAGCTGTGATGTTTAGAAATTTGATAATTGGGAATTCATATTGCTACTATATATGTAATCAGATTATAAAGCATATGTTGTTAGCATTATTTGGCAATGGACTGTGTGTCCGGCACTTAAAGTTCATTTTTTTAAGAACTCTCAATTCTTTTTCTTTCTGTTCTGCCTACTACTTTTAAAAAGTAATAATGTAGTGAGTTTTTATCACTGATTTTGCCAAGATCATCATTTAAATAGATTATGATTGTGGTTTGTGTGCTGAGTTCTTCATTCCTTAAGACTTATTCACAACGGATCAGTGATTAGTGTGAGAGTCAGAATGTAAAGTTCGCTTTAACAAGTATTTCTGTGTTGTCACTCAAAGAAATAAAGGTCAGGAACATTTTCATCTAGTATGGTGAGAACAATAGTATTTCAGCTCCGAATTTGAAGTTTCTAGGGACTTTTCGCGATAAGCGAAGGAGAACTGAACATGTGTGATTCTTAAATACAGGACAATCTTACTCTCCGATTTTATGTGCATGCAGCTGAGTGTGACGTGAGTTCTTTATTTTTATTTCAAGTTTTTGTCAATAATATAAATAGAAATGAAAATATTACAGTATTCAGCTAAGAATCAAAAAGACTGATAAAAGGAGGAGATTTTATTTTGCAACATATATTAAAGTGGATTACACTAGACGTGATTAAGCTCCTTATTTAACTCTTGCTTGTAAATTTCATAACAAATTCCAACATTTAATGAGAAAAGATGGCTAGAAATGTAATTGTTGCATAATATTTTTAGATAAAAAACTTTCAGTGGTATAAGCAAGTTGGTGGGATTGTGCATCCTTCCTGTTGTATTATTGCTCTTGCTGCATAATGTCCGCATTCAATGCATTCAGCAATTGATTTGTTCTGCACAAATTGAGCTAGAAATCCTGCAAATGTGAGATTAAAAACTATATACAATTCAGTTTTTTTTCCTTCTATTCCTGTTTTCAAGATTATATCTATAACCGCATATAAAATTTTTCTTAACATTTGAAATTATGAGAAAAGAAAAAAGTTGGTGGGCCCAAAACTGCCCGAATTTTCCGATTGCGTTTGTATCTTTGTCTGCAGTAGAGTCTTTATAAGATACATTCTAAGTTGAATTAAATTTGAAATCTTAGAAACAGTAATTATCTCTTACCTCCAACAAATGCATCACCGGCACCATTAGTATCAATAATTTCTTCTGCCTTCAATTTTTGAACCGAAAATTCCATTAAAGCATCGTCACCCATCTGGAAAACTAAGGTTGGATCAGATCCTTGAGTAATGATCACGATTCTATTCCTTCTTGTATTGACCTAAAACAGTTTGATATGTATTAATATATTTTAAGCGAGTAAATGCTAATAATGCATAGAAATATTTTATTGCATGATGGTCTATCTTGAAATTTATTCTTTAATTTTGTACTTTCGGAAACGCTGCGATTCGTGCACCGATTTCATGTAGATCATGAGTGTTATAGTGATTTGCTTCTGCAAAAGCTAAAGCTTCGCTTTCATTGCCAAATAAAATATCAACATATGATAAAATTGCTAGGAAGTCATCTCCGAAAAGTTTTGGAATAAATTGTGCAGCTAAATTAAAAGTTAATACCTGAAAAAGTATGTGAGTTATCAACGACTACATGATGTAATTTAATGTTGACCTCTAAAAAATTGAATTCTTCAATTTTCTGAACGTTATTCAGAAAGAATCTTATTTCATTGCTATTATATTAGTAAGGTTTTGTGTTTATTTATTGTCATTTTTTAAGCACCTTTCATTTAAACCAATTTTTAATTATTTAAGACAAAACACTAAATACATAAGTCTAACTTTGTTATGTTCACTAGCATGCTTTGCGATAAATTTTACTGCCTCTGGACAGACAGTGATGAAAAATCCCTGAAATGAGCACAAATTATACATCTATGAATTGTTTCGATAAATTAGTTCATAGTCACTGCTTTTTTATCTTCATTGTTTTTCTAGTTTTTATTGAGCTACATCATTTTCTTTCTTCTAGTTTGTCGTCTAAATTCAATATTCCCAGAAAAATTTATTGTAAGCAGTACTTTTACAAACACTTCATACATTTATAGGATAAATTTCATGTCTACGGTTATGAAGTCTTGATTCCCCAGTGGCTATGACTATCTCCACACTTATAATTTATGGGCATTAACTGCATTTGTATTGTGAAATACCAGTAAAGAAAGATAGTAAGTAATTCGTTGATTTTCTATAATTTTTATAAAAATCTTTTTTTGTTGCATTGTAACAAAAGTAAACTGACTGATATGTAGAAATATTGCGCCTTATCAATAATGGTACGGTTTTCAACTTCTTCTAAATGGTCGAACGTGAATAAATTGGCTGCTGCAAGATGAGCACAAAGTGATCTGAAGCAGTTAATAAGATTATTAATGTTAATAATAGTGTGTTGCACTATGAAGTTTATTGCCTGAAACCTTAGTCTAGAAATGTTTTATTTAGTGAAGATTATCCTTTTTAAACTATGCATGTAATGAATAGTAATAAATAACTAGAAAAATAAAGCCCAGATATTGATTTGTAAACAAGTAATTCACTTGTGATTACATATGTTTTTTTTCTCTGTTGAAGAGAGTTTGAATTTTTGTTGTTGTTATCGTTTAAAGAACTGACCTTTGTTGACCAGTGATAAGTGCCGCGCACATTCCCGTTTTTTTTCCTTTTTTCACTTGATAACATACGTTAAGACCCGCTTCTCGAGCCTTTTCTCTCAAGATAACCCCGTACTTATCATCTCCTATGCAACCAAAAAATGTTGCACGATTCGGTTCGTTTGTAATCCACTTAATAAAAATCTTTTTTTTTTTTTCAAAAAGTTGATGGAATGTTAGTTTTCAGTTTTATATAGCTTATAAAAAAACAGTAGGTTTTTCTTAAATCTAATATTTTCGTGCAAATTTCATTGCAAGAGTTTACTTGAAATACACGAAGTGTATTTTGTGTTGCACCTCCTGGTAAATATAATGTGTTAGGATTCTTGACTAGTTCTTCAAACCTTCAAATCACAAATTATTTCATATATGGATGTAAATTTTTTTTTGAAATGGCTATTTTGTTTACAGGGATTTAAGTAAAATTATAATAACACTATGATAGGTGTGATAGAATGATTTATTTACTTTGAAAGTAACGAAAGAGTGAGTGTACGTTAACAATGCGCGTTAACAAGGACAAATTGTTGGATAAGAATTCTGTCAAATCTATGGAAGTTTGGGTGAGGATAGAAAAATTCTGTTTTAATGTTTTGTTTAAATTTTGTTACTGTTAAAAATGGTGGTTGGAATTTTATTGGATGGATGTGGGAAAACTGACATTGGTATATGCTGATCACTTGCTAATATCGCATCATTCTCGTTTAAGTTCCATTTTTGTAAGTATTCAAGATTGACATCAGTTTGCAAATCTAATAATGGGTTACCACAACCTAGAATTATCCCCTCCGAACATTTCGATAATTTTTGTGATGTTGCCATAGCTGAATTAATATGATGATGTAATGAGTAAGAGTCTGCAAATTATTCAAGAAACTTGTCTTTTATAATGTCAGAAATGAAGAAATGAAAAGAAAGTGCAGTACTGAGATTAAAAAGTAAAATAAATCAGGGGGAAATGCATGTTCAACAGAAAACAGAAATGATTATAAATAAAGCAAAAAGTGGATTCATAATAAATAGAGGAGACAGAAGCTGAGTCACTGAAATTGAAGATTAGCAATAGGATAGATTTACTGTCATAAAATATCTGGCATGCATGGCATTGAATGATTGAAAATGTATTGTAAGTGTAAATGTTTTTGAGTAGTAAAATTAGGGAGTGAGTGATTGCGTAAATATGCGTGTTTTAAGCGAATGAATGCTAATAATGCATAGAAATATGAGCAAATGATTGGATTGTTCGTTTATAAATCAATTTATGGTAGAAATTTGTTATCATAATTAATAAATAAAGTGATTGTCATTTGTACTCAGTTTTCTTTCTTACACGTTTTATTTATTTATTATAATATTCAGTTGATAGCATTTATAGGCAAGATTTTAACGCATTAATTAATAAAAATATTATTCATAGGTAAATGAAATATTAAAGCAAACTGAATGCATAAATAAATATCTGCAAGAGAATAAAAGTAGAGTAAGCTATAACAGCTTGTCTGATCGCTCTTCAAATTACTGATCGATGGCGCGAGTTCTTTTAAAACTTGTTTGAATGTAATCTTTAACCTAAATTACTTGGCTACCGCTAAAAATTTATGTCATCATTGGAATAATTTCTGGCATAAGCAATGCAACTATATCACTCCATCTATCTATCTATCTATCTATCAACCAATCCATTTTGGCATTTTCATATATAGCAATGCGTACATACAGCGGCATTACATTATTTTTCATTCTTAATTTATTATACTTCTCTCTCATTGCCCTAGTGTCTACTATCAATATCTAAGTTGCTATATATGTGCTTTTTATTAGATTTGCAGTGATGTCTACAATGTTTCATGTGTATATTCATTAAAAAATGTGTGCATATATATATTTTTATTATCTCATTAATTTATAATCTAATTTATTTGGTCATTTTGATTACTTGAAATGACATTTTTCATAAGTACTTAACTTTAAATTCATTTAAATGATTCAATCGAGTTCATTTGCTATTTTCTATGTAGAAAGTGTTGAAAAGATGACAAATTGGATGATAGAAAATGAAATTTTTTTTTTGTTGGGAATTTCGCATAAAACATCATAATTACAATCATTCTTGCAATTGAAACTATTTTGCTGTAATGTTTGGCATTTTTTGTTGCTGAAGTTATTGTATTTTAAGCAATACTTTATTTGTCCAGTTTTTTATTCCAAACAAATTTCAGCTGTTCACGTAATAAACACAGTTGAAGATGAAGATTATTTTCAGCTGTTTTTAAATAATTTTTTTCTCACTACGAATTGAAAAATAAATGATTTAGTTGCTATAGCTTATTATTTGCAATATTAATTAGGGATAAATTTTCATACTAGCTTAAGCTGTTCATGAAATGAGCACATGAAAAAATGAGTGACATTTTGGTTACTATATCTTTCATTAATGTATTTTTGTTATTCACATACAGACTATTAATAAAGTAATAAATGGGAAATCATTCAAGCATCACATTTGAAAGTATTATTATGATTCATAGAGATTAATATGTAACGACGTGAATAGGAAATGGTAAACATCGGAACAAAGCCCGGTCAAAAATTGCAAGATAATACGAAATATCATGATGAATCATCTGCGTAAAAAAACGGACAATTTCAGTAAATGATATTAACGACACATACATATTTAACAATTTATAACAGTAGGAAATGCATAAACTGCAGTTTCAGTTCCTAAAAAAGTTCCTCTATACCTACCTTCTCTTTTCAACCCTACTTTGTCTAACTAAAAAATAACCGTTCACGCGATACATACTTGTTGGGTAGACAAGCATTTAGATATTCCAACTGTAAACAGGTTTTGAATCGATCAAGGTCATCTGAATACACCAATGATTAATTAAACACGGTTAAATTTGAAACATGCACTTACTTTGTATTAAGATAAATTAGCACAACACAGTTCCTCTAATTTACTTGCCAAACTACGATGTTCTAATGCATTCAGATATAAAAACAATAACACTTGATGAGTACTTGATAAGAACACAATCTAATATGTATCATGGAAGATTGTTCGTAACACTTAAGCAGACAATTATGACTTCATTACCATGTAATCAATCACTTCTCATTTAATCAAATAGATATGCAATTCATCCATCCATCACATCAATACCATTAGTCAAAAACTGTTTTGCTCTCTATCTACCCACTTATGTTAGACTGAGTAACTTAAAGCATCAATTATAATAATAGTCTAGAATCTAACGTGTTAACTTTCTGGTGCTCAAATACGAAGAATAAACAAGACTACAATCGAGACATGGTTGACCACACTTACACTACAGAATTGGACTGTAACTTATAGAGCAAATCTGATTTAAATTTTCCTTTAACACAATGTACGCAAATCATATCATGATTGTTTAAATTTATTTAATCGCAAGTGCAACAATAGATATCAGTTAAAGTAACACAATGATGAATACAGTCTCTAAGAGAGAAAATAATAACAAAATTAAAGGTTCGTTTATAACACAGTGTCGAGACAAAATCATACTTCTTTTCATAGATATGAAAGAATAACACATTCAAAGACTAGCTGCTACACACGACTATCAAAAATAATTGCATGAAGAAAAATAAGTCTAAAGTTATTTATTAAGAATACTTACTTTGGATAAAAGACAAAAATAACAATAATCAAAGAATAAAATAAGTACGAAGATCAAAAGTAGAGAGAAAATTATTGAAAAGGCCCGCAAAAATTTTTTTGAAATGCTTCACAGCATTACCATTAACCAGAACTAATTCGAACCAAAACCGCACAACAAAATCTCAAATATTGTCTAGCTAATTCAAAAGCAGTACTTTGATATAATATAACGAGATCAATTGATGATACAAAGTAAAAGCAGATCGAGAAGGCCTGTTACAGCAAGAATTTTTGATTCTATTTTCATTAGGGAGGATGGAATACAAGATTAACATTAAAGCCAAGTCACCCGAACAAATAAAAATATAGTACTGACAATCAATACTTCATAATCAATAATTAAAAGGAACTGTAAGCAAACGTAGTTATGCAATAGTGTAAAAATTTCCGAAAATTAAAAATAAATGCATATTAACTAACTAAAAAAGGAAAAAGCCTTCTAACCAAGCTCACAAATTTATATTATTCAAGTTCATTGATGGAAAGATTCTATGGGTGAAATTGTACTGACATGAAATAATTTTTTTATGGTTTTGGATAATTTCCTTAATGTTCTTTTTCATAAATATTGTCATCGATCACATATTTACGGCCATAAATAAACTCACATAACATGATTATCCAAAATTAAAAGAAAAACAATCAAATATACTGGAATCATTCGATTAGGAAATGAAACCTAGTCATTCCGCATCATCGGCATTAGATATGGATGATACCCATGTTGATAATAAAGCTGATTAGGTAATGAAAATTGGCTACCACTAGCTGTCGGAGGCATACCACCACCAAAAGCATCAATAAAATTACCCGAAAAAGCAGCTGACGGAGTAGGATATCTAAAGATAGAAAGTGAATCAGCCATAAATAAAGTTTTTTCTGCTTCCCATAAACCAAATAGTTTAATTCTTTACAGCATTAATTTGAAACAGTTAAAACAGTTCTAGTTGCTATAAAGCCAAATTACCTACCTCCAAGAAGCCGCTGCGCCAGCTTGAGCACTACTCTGCAATTCCGAACATTGAACACCAATCATTTGATGCGGAGTCACAGGACCAATGGCTCCAGCTGAGTTTGATAATCCCCCATTGGCGCTACCCTGCAACAGGAATTAGACAAAAAAAAATGTTTCCATTCTTGTCAATAGCAACTAAGACAAATATCAGTAATTTTTCTGGAGAAGACACAAGATCTATGGATATGCATAAAGTTATTGACAAATTCAGAAATTGCTATCTCTTACCTGATGCATGCCACGAGGATAAGAATAAGGAAAGCCACTTTGAACGGCTGCAGCCCCAATAGGATGTGCTTTGCTTATACCACTTAGGTGAGATGGATAATTGACAGCTGATGACGGATAAGCTGCAGAAGCAGCTGCTGTTGACAATGCATTTGAATGAAATTGTGGATCAAAGTATGCGTGATGTCGAGGACTGGCATAATTGCTTGCATAATAAGGTCCTGGAATATAAGGATAACAAAATTCTTGTTGGAAAAAAGCGGCACAAGGGAGCAAAAACGAGCAAAATATAAGAGCATCGCTGGATAAAATTGAAATTTATACTAATCAGCAACTATTTTTATAACAAATTCCATCTAATTTCAATAAAACTATCCAGTCAAGTACATATAATTCTTTAGAAATCACAGTAAAAAGTATATAAGTACTCAAAATTACCTGTTTGCGAGTGAGTAACCTGGGATGAACCCATGAACGATTGTCCTGCATTTGGCGCCGCTAGTACATAGGGTGGAAGAGGTGTTGGAGGCATGAACATCGATGTTCTTTGACTAGTCATCGTGTTTTTTGATGAACGACTCTATAAAATGTGATCTTTTAGAAAAAAAACTTTTAAAATTTCCATAAATTTCGATCAATTCCAAAAAATTTTTTTTTCTCAATCTTCTTGTCTACAGGATTTCAATACATTATTATTGCACTGGTGACTGAAAAAAAGTGACATTATACTAATTAAGATACTGCAAAGGTTTCAAAAACTTTAACAAAACGAAACCCTATTTTTTTATTTCAATTAAAAAGCAGTCTAACCAACCATGAACTTCTAATACAATACATTATAATAATTAGGGTCATCTGCAGGTAACTTTTCGAGAGATATTAAACTGAAAACTTTCAAATTTTAGTAACATCTTTTTTGTGAAATATTTCATAATCTTAGAATATTTGCGGCAATAAAGACTGAAAGATCAAAAAAAAACTAAATTTAAAGTTTGTTTTGAACAACAACTCATAAAGATTACTTATCTTTACGAACTTACTTGATCTTTTTTGGAGTTACGACGATGAGAATGTTGTTGTGTTGTAACCGATGGTAGACTTGTTGACGCTGAGGATTTCCTTAAGCTTTTTGTATTGCTCGTCATAGTTGGTGTTTCTTCAATCATAGGTAGACACATTTCTGATGTTGCAGAAGAAAACAAAATATCTGAATCTAGAAACCATAGTATTGGTAATCAAGTCTGATTAATAATCAAAATTGTATAAAAAAGAAGCGCTAGAAACACTGGATAAATGTAAGCCATACTCGAATGCGCTTGCGCCGACAAATGATGAGGTGTTGAGGGATTAGAGCGAACGGTATTTCTTTCGGCAGAACCAATAAATATTTCTCCAGGACTAGCCTCCACCTGCGAAAGAGGAGTACGGCTGGATGCATCCGACGCGTTGCGCTAAAAGTAAACTTGAGAAAACTGAAAAGAAAAAAAACACCTAAAATATTAAAATTCTACTTTTTGTAAAGAGCATGGTGGAGATACAAAGCTCTGAGAAGAGATATCTGAATGAATTGAACTTGGAGGCAAAATCGGTGACTGATTGAGAATTACAGTTGACTGTCGGCAGCTATTGCTGGAACATTATCAATGAAAACTTACACCAAAAAGAATCTAGAGTAAATAATACAATTTCATAAATAATGCTTTAGAAAAATTTCAATAGTACCTTTGGAATATTGTTTGATCAGCTGTTTCTGCTGAACTACTTTTTTCGACTGACCCGCTTTTTTCATCCTAAAATTCACGCCATATTTCTCAATATCAACCGGGACAGATCATTTTTTAAGCACGAAAGAAACAATCTCAAAGTAACACACCAAATGTTCTTCATTTGGAACCAGAAACATAGCTGGCGCTTTTGGAGGTCTATCTAGTGCTGACACCTCAGCTCTCAGAGGCAGAACTTCGGATTTTCCACTTTTCCTGTGGCTTACATGCCCACCAATTGATTCCTTTTGTTCAGCCTCACTTTCCCCTTCACTTCCTGCATCACCACCAAGGTTAACCTGAAATATTGAAATTCAATTAGAAATTGATAGTAAAAATCAAATAAATTTTGTTGTTTCACTAATTTCTCGTACTCCAATAGTTTAAATTAACCATTTCACAAATGTTGTTTGTGACAGATGCGATCCTTGACTTCAAATTATTTGCTATACAGACAGCTGTGTCACGAGATTTCGAAGGTGAAGAGGTCAAAAGTAGATCAGGAGCAGACTTATTGGATACTGTTTCAGAGAGGATAGGTATTGTTTCATGCTCTTTCGGACTATTAGCTTCGCACGTTTCAAGCTACAAAATATGAGATTGTGCATTTAAAAATTATGAGAACTACATTTTCCAACGGAGAAATACAAATCTAGCGTTAAGTGATATCCAACACACTTGCACGAATTATAATGGTGTGAATAACAGTTATTACAATTAAAATGATACAAGCATACCACAGAAAAATTCGGAGATAGTCTAGGTGGGATATCTTCGTCTTCACCATCATATGTACTTTCATTGCCTGCAACGCTTAAACGAAGAAGCGGCATCCCACTAGCAAAACTACTTCTGGAGCCATGTGATCTATCTGGACTTTCACATTCCTTCATCGGCTTCTCCTACAAATATCTGACAAAAGTTATACAATTTTCGGCTTCCAACAATTTTAAGGATCCTTTACTAAATAAAATTTGCAGGAGAGATTTCATAACTGAAACTATGAATGCTGAAACACTTTCCAAAACAAATCATTACTTTATCATCAAATGTATTTTCATTCTGATCAATGTTCATCTTTGCAACACCATCTGCCTCAAGAGTTGGTGGCAACTCGTCCTCGTTATCAAAAGTAAGTTCCAAACTTGAAACAATTTTACTATTAACTATTACATATACAGGTTACATATGAAACCTACATACATATAATATATGCTTTAACCGATACGGAAACATAGCTAACGATGAGAATTATTTTTACCGTTTTTCATTGTTTCCTAATGCATGACGATCAGTAGAAGTCAAAGCACAGTTATGTAGTGCTTCATTTCCTGATTCATGATTTACATCTAGTTTCTGAGAGATCGATGAGTCTTTTAGCAACTCCGGTGGCTTTTCGTTGCTCAAAATAAGATTCTTTAAATTGAATAGATGCGAATCTTCATAACGAAAGACAAAAATAAAATGGTTTACCTGGGTGCTCCAGATTTTATACCACTATCAGCTTTGCATTGCTTCGAAACTAAACATGAAGCATCAGATGACTTCTCTGAACCACTTGAGTCGCTTAATGATGACGAGTGAAGATGTGGTTGATGGTAATCTCTAAACTGAGAGAATCGATAATGAAGATTCATATTCAATGCAAAAGGCCTCATAAAAATTGAAATGAATTAAAAAACATACGGATTTATTTTTTTGGACGAGATTTCAGCTTTAGTACACATATCGTGTTCACTGACGTTATTTAGTTCAATTGATTCGATTTTTCCAATACTTTTCTAAATCAGAATATTAGTACTGGGCACAAAAAACTATAGATGAAATTTCGCTTCAACTTTTTTAATATTTAACGAGTAGAAAGTGAAAATCATTCCAGTACTTCTTAACTAAAACTTTAACTTAGATTATCTTAAAATCCAATTATCATCAGAAATTCATACTTCTTTGCTTTGTTTTAAAAGTGATCGAGATAGAACACTTCTATGTTTAGGCTTATAGTACACTTTTTTAGTTTTTCGCTTATAATTCTTGATGTCATTTGGATCTGAAAATGAGGTTTCCTTTCAATAAATCTAAAAAATAAGACAGCCAAAAGAGATAACAAACTTGCACAATTTTAGAACAACGAAACAACTGAAAACAAGCTAAACGACTCACTAGATAAATCACTCTCAGAAGATGATGAGTACGAAAGGTGTTCAAGCTCCACAACTCTTTTGGTCCCACTTTTTCGAGAACGATGATAAGCAGAACTTTTCTTCGGCATTTTCTTTTCATTTGCCTGAGCTGAAAATTCAAATTATATTGTTCAGCAATATAAAAAACACTGCTGCAATTGAATCAACTATAAATATATTACCAATTCGTATATTTTTTCTCGCTCCTTTTTTTGATGCTATATCACCCTCAGAATCGTCATCACCACTTGTTTTCCCCCAAAGTAACTTATTCTGTTGCTCGCCTGCAACCAGAGTATTAGATGCTACTGTAGACATTGGTTATGAGCTACTATTTTAGAGGTAAAGAGTTATGCTAAATTTGTATACAGTAAGTTCAAAGTATTAACACAAGATCTTGAAACTAGCAATTAGTAAATTAACCTCGACATGTAGTTTCAATGCTGACTAGTGCTTTTTTTTCGTCGTTCACTGTACTGATTTCAGATTGACGTTTTTTTAACGTTGCCTTGCGTGTGTCAGAAATGTTTGCATGAAACAAATTTTTACCGGTTGCATACTTTTGTATGCTACGAATCGTTTTTTTTTGCAATAAAAAGGTACGATCATGCTGCACTGTTTTTCGAATCGGACTACTAAAAGGGGAACGGAATGCATGTGCTGGTCTATCGTTGCATTCAAATGAAGGCGAATGCATAACTGGAGACCACTGAAATAGAAACAATTTCTAAAAAGCTACAGTTTAAATACTGACTTCTACTAGAAGCTTTTTTGAACAATTTATAGTTAATTTAAAAACTACTATAATGATTTTATTTTTAATCTTGCAATATGAAACTTAGCTACATTAGTCAGTGAGGCAAAATGAAGATTAATGATATTTTACAAACTGATTAATGATAATATTCGTGAAAAATGAGCTTTACAAACCAATAACTTCGTTTCATCTAACCAAATACGTTTTGCATCATTTCTTGATTTTGTCCATTGATTTTTTAACAAAGATAGGTTCAAAACAAGTCTTATTCTGAAATAAGTCATCTGTTACTGCGAAATTAATTCCAAATTATTTTCAAATTTGTTCGTTATCAATAAAATCATGAAATGTGAAATATGTTGCCAATTCTCTACATGATGGTCAGAAAACAATTCTGTGCATTCTATGCTGCTCAACCGGTACCTAATCATGTCACGAACTATAGAGTATAGATGCGGAAAACAAAGAGAAATTAAAAAACAGAAAGAATCCAGCTCACTCAGAATTGATTATCTGAAGCATATTCAATGACTGCAATGTTTCGATGACATCGTAAACAGATATACCTGTCCCACGTGCAATACCTTAATACAAAGCTACTATATAAATAAAAACTGATGAGTCAATCCAGTGCTACACAGAAAAAAATCGTAAAACTTTCTGTGAAGCAAAACACACCTTTTAGAGTCAAACGTTTTGTCTTGTCCTTTGAAGTTGTTAGGTACAGATACTCACAAATAGCTGATCGCCAATAACTTTTATATGCACAACGACCGAGATCAGATAGAGGCTTCTCAGGTGTTCCATTCAACCCTTCCTTTCGACTTAATAAGAAACCTGCAACAAAAAGTGCTGCTTTCCATATTCAGCCTTTTCTACTTAGCTCAAGACAACGATCAGTATAAAGATGAAAATCTTGACTTCAGATTGGAAAAAGGCTTCAATACAGCTAAAGATACTAGTTTTTTACTGAAAGTGATGTGAACTGATATCTAACATCAATCATTACTTTCGATTACTTCAGTTCAAATGTATTTGAAAACTTACTAAAATCAATTAAAAATCGTCCGAAACCTTGTTTCTGATAAGATGGTAAAATCATAATGCATGATAAATTATGTTTCCTTGAGTTGTACTTCTCCTAAAATGAAATAATAAAAAATTTTGATATTTAAACAATAGAAGTTTTATCTACATGAATACTAGATGAAAACAAATGGACGATTTTGATGACAATAGAACATTTTTTAATAAAATTTACGTACTTTGGAAAAATACCCAACGAAGTGAAATCCGCTGTTATTGTTCTTGGTAACCACGTAGAATAAGAATGGTTCTACATCATAATACAATGTCTTGTGATCCAAAAACAGCTTCGCCAAGAGACAAATATTTTGACAGTACATTTTTGAATGGTGACCATCGACCTAAAAATTTTGAATACACAGATTTCGAAGTGTTTGTCAGCACTATTTTTCATAAACTTTTTAATATTAAATTTTTGTATAGAAAGTATAAACCCTGTACCTCAAATACAGAAACGTCATCTTTTCGATAAATTTCGTTACCAGGAGGATGCCGAAGCAAACATCGCTCCTGAAAAATAAAGTAACAATGAAACTTCAAATTAAAAAACTTGATAGTTAACTGCTTAGTACTACCAATAACCAAGACTCACAAAAAACAAACAACACGAAACAAAAGAAATAATCCAAATATAATTTAACGCACCGAATGCCTTTGTTTGATTTCCGAACTTCTCATGTATTTCATACAAAACTCGCATATATATAAGATTGACAAATGAGCATATTCTGCGGGATATGGTGCTGAATACCATGCTTCAATTTCGAAAGCGCCGATTCGTATTGCTTTTGGATGTTGCAAAGTTTCTTCACATGTACTGTTTGGCTGGGATGAAGTGAGATTTTTGGAGTGAACATCAAAATCCTGAAAATAGTCTTGAAAAAATTAAGCCCAATTTCAAAGTCCTAATGCAATTCTAGCTGTATTACAAGGACTTTTAAGCAATTTTTTCATGTAATTAATACCTGATGAGCTAATTTGCGAGCAAGACTAAATAATTCGCGATCTTCATCTGTTATTATTACTGGATCTTCAAGCGAAATCTCTCTTCTAGTCATATTTAATTCTTTTAAATTAGGCTGACGAAGAGATATCAAAAATTTCCTGAATAAAAATCTTATGAAGCAAATTCGTGAACATATATTAACAACAAGCCATACATTTATTACTAGGAAAATTAATACCTCTAAATGGAATTATGGAATAATGAAAAGAAAATTCATGCACGTGCGTAGCAGCTTCCTTGCATGCATTATTAGGTTGGGATGAGGAAGAAAAAAAAGAAAAATTAAAAGATATCAATTTTCACATCTGCTTAATCTATGATAATTCAAGAAACAGACAACTGTAAAACATGTTAGTTAAATGAAATTAAGTATGAGTAAAACATGTGAGTAAATGGAATTCATAAAAAACTAGCTAGCTATTTACGTGTTGAAAAAATTTGTAGAAAATGAAAAGATAACCTTGACTGTAGACGAGAAGATGAATGCTTCAGTGATTTCAATCGTGTTTTATGCGACTTAGCTTTCCGAATAATTGAAGCTGTTCGCAGTCTGCGCTGTGATACGAGTTTTTTTGAGAGCAAGCTTTTCAATTTTGATGATGATGGCTGCACTGACGTGCTAATTAATGACGAATTTCGTGACGAACACCTCACCTACAACTATTTAGGAATTAAACATAAATGAAAAGAATTGAATCTGATGAAAAACAAAAAATCTTTATGGCTTCTTATATATGTAATTTCGACCAGCCAAACAGTAGAAGTTATATATATTCACAATGTGGAATTATTAATCTACTCAAAATTCAGAAATTACAATGAACTGAAATTAGTTTCTAGCCATTTTAACAGAAAGATTTGATTACTTCATTATTCAAATCACAATTCGAACTTCAGCAGCATGTTTATTCTTCAAAAACAGGACAAAAGTCCTGCATTTTTAGAATTTACACTGATTTCTGTATAATTACAAAGGATGTAATTCAAACTAGATGAGATTTCGCTATATTACTGTTATTTGAGAACAAACCGTTAATGATGAATGTCGATCTGATGTAAGTGGTTCATTACTAAGCACTGCTAATCGCTTTCTCGAACGACATGAATCTCTTTAAAAAAAATTGTTCTTTCCAGAGCACGGAAACTTATGCCAATATTAGTTCTCTGACTGAACGAGACAATGAACTCTCTTATAATATTAAGATTTATTTTAGAAAGATCTTAAATAAATGTCGAATACATCAAAACAGAAGTATACCGTCGACACCCAGTGATATCTACGGAGAATTCATCTTGAGTATGATCGGTTGTACTACTATGAGGTTGACACACACAGCTTGAAGCTAACGTAGTTTCCTCTAAACATTAAAACATTGAAGTATCTGGCTCAATTATTTGCAAAAGCTCGCATTATTAAATACAAAGATTCATGACACAAACCACGAATAATGATGCCATCACCACTTTTTGTTTTAGTCCGGCCACCAGAGAGATGTACATACTGTCCCTAAACCAAAATAATAAGTGTGCCACAAATAATAAGAATTTTCACTTTTAGAAAAATTGAAGCACAGAATGTGGCAAAATAAGAAAACTGCAACCAGAGTTAATATTAGAAAACTGTTTTTTGAAAAAGACATTACCTTGGAGAAAATTCGTCTTTTTTCAGAAGCTGCACTAAAATAAGGAGACAATGCATCCAAAAGTGCATCAGTGCGACGATTTGGCGATGGTGTTGACTGAGCTGAAGATTTCGTGAATGAAGCATAAATGCTTGTCAATTTACTCATAATAACTAGAAGCCAATTTTTAAAAAAATGAAAATTTCACAATTGGAAGTACTGATAATTTTTAAGCATTTACCTGATTTTAACGAAGAACTTGTAGAAGGTTGCTGCGAAACAGAAGACTGCAATTCACCAACTTTTGTATCAACTGATATAATAGAAAGGTGATGCTGAAAATTTAAATTTTGACTCATTTCATACCAGTAACTCAATATAAGAAATTATGTATGAGAATTAATCAGGAAATTACATACGGTTGTTTTGCTAGGCACTGATCTTTTGATTTCCGGAGGGACACCATTTTTTTTCAAATCTTTCACTGAAAGCCTCGTCAGTGGTTTTGAGTGCCCGACTTTGTCTTTATTCAAATCCTAAAATGAAACATCAGTTAAAATCACAGCTCACAATACTTTTAGTATATCAAAGACAATAATATTTAAACTAGTTGTTGACCTTTTTTGAGCTATTTTTGCTTGAAAAAAACCGAGACGATGATGTTCCTGGTTGAAGCCTTTCCAAAGAGAATGATGACTGTGCAACTCTAGAACGCCTTCGATTTGCCGGCGTAAAAAATCTTGTTAAGCTGTCCTCAAAAAACAAAACAATTTCATTGCGCAAAATAGTCAAAGAAATAAGTACGATTTCTGTTTATTTTAAAGCCAAAATATTTAAAACGGAATTTCTTAAATATAAATACCTGCAAATGTTTTAGTTCACTCGACTTTTCAGCAGGAGTCTGATCCGCATTTTTTCTGAAAATTCCCAAAACTCATTTTTCCATCGCTATTTGAAATTCAAGCATCTGTTAAACATATCAACTATATCACAGTTACTTTGAACACTGAAATCTGGTATAATTTTTTCTGAAAAGTACTTGCCTCAAAACATGCAAATTATTCAACAGTAATGAAATTCATCTAAAATATTCGTTTGTAATATTTCTGCTTCAATGAAAAATATTATACGTAACGACTCAGTATCAAAGCAATCACGTAAAAAATTATCGACATTTTTTCAGCAAAAAAAATTTATCAGTAATGATTATGGCTATGTGATGTTTAAATCAGCACATTTTAATTACTCTTGCTAATATAAGCAAAAACATTACGAGTGTCACAATGGAAAACAATACTTACCGCGCGGGCATATCACAACCCTGATCAAAGTCTATTTACTGCAAAAGCCTCCCTCTTTCCTTTGAAAGAAAAATAATTATTTTTGCTGAAAATACGATTAGAGTTTAAAATCAAAATTATTAATGAGAGTCAGATAACGTAAAAGCAATGAGTAATTGATACTACGCACTGATTCCTCCCATATCCGAATTACTGTTGATAAGCAATGCATTAAAATGTTATAATTAAAAAAAAGAAAAGTTTTATGCAAGCTTAAAAATGCACACATGACTTATAGCTGAGTTATAGTGTCACATGACTTATAGTGTTATGTGTATTCTTTGGTTCTATATTTCCTATTAATTCACAGTTAATATGAATAATTGTATAGTTAATAACATTTCAGGCTATTAACTAAAATAAATGAATATTAAATATGCAAAGTGCTATCAAAATGAGACAAAAAATGGATTTCTTATTTCGACAATGAAGTGTCTGTCTAGATTAATCTTAATAAAATTACTCCAGCAAAGAAATAATGCTTGACTGATAACTGGTTACAAATAAAATGACTGCAAAATATGTATGTACATGTGAAGTGAATAAATCCACCGAAAAATCATAAAGATAAAAGATTTCACTGTTAGCAGCAATAATCACATTATCAGTTATTAACACAAATATAATCATATCTTTGCTGTATATCTCATTAGTACAACACAGCATACACCTAATGAATTTATACTAAATAAATTTGCTTGCATTTAAAAATTAATCATTTACACTGGCTTTCAAATAAATCTGATATTAAAAATCAATAATTTGTCTAATTATAGCATATAGTTTTCTAATTATACTTTTGTTACCGTACTCACACATTTTGAACAATGAGATGATATTAGTGAGATAAGAACTATTAATGAATAGTCTTTTATGTTTAATTGTGTAGTATATGAAGAAATACCACATACTTATGACACCATTACTGTAAATTATAATATGGATACTTTTGCAAATTATAATTGAAAGCTCGTAATGTTATTCAATTCAATTACGTTATAGATCATTTCATACGTACTGTAAACAATATTGGATAACAATAGCAATGAAAAGTGTTGAATGTTTAGAGCATTTGTGAAATTTAAAGTATTCTTAATTAAAATGCAACTGCAGATGATAAAACAATAAAACAATGGGTATAGCGTTGTAAGATGAAGAAATGGTACTTTTGACTGCTTACTTCACTTCAATCAGAACCTTGACTGATTGTTTAAACATATTATCATTAAGTTTTACTCTAGATAATGCTTAATAATCTAATCTAACCGGAATGAACTAGATCACACCGGATCAAGACTATCTGGATATGCAACAAAGCAATGTACAAAGTATGTAGATACATCTTTGATCTAGTTTGCCTCACATGTGTCATCTTCTCTCATTTCGCTAACGTTTTCCTGTATTCACTCTTATGATACTCTCCCAAGGAATCCCTCGTAATGTTGCAGCTAAAAAGCACAGTGGTCTTGACACGGAATATAAATTAACATCTGCTATCAAAATGTAAGCTATTGGCACTGAACGCGTCAAATTGTAGCCTTGTATTAGGGATTGCGTGTAGACGTTCGTTGCTTACGTCTATGTCATATCATTTTTACAATGCTTTAAAAAAATTTATTTTTATAGTTGCAGAAATGGCATGAAAATTTTAATATTTTCTTTTTTTCATCTAAAAACTTTAATCACACATCAGTATTGATAAGGGACTAGAAGTTGTGCGAATTGATATTGATGTCGAACATTTACTTGTATTTTTGGCGGTAAACTTTTCGTAATACCTGTCAACTTGCACTTGTTGAATTGAAAAATAGTGCTAGCAATTATGAATCCTTAATTCTTCTATCAAAACACGAAATTACACATTATTCGATCAAGTACGTATGTCTGTATACTTTTGATTATAAAACTGTATTACTGCTTGATGTAGATTAATTTTAGAAATGCAGTATAGAGATATTCATGTAGATCTAGACGTATATTACGGTTATGTACCGTAAGATTCGATTTTGTATATTTTATAGTATGATTATTCGAAATATAAATAGTTTAATAGCAAATGCAGTAAAAAATTGTAATACGAAAAAAAAAATTGTAATGAAAGAAAGGTTATATTATGGTTTAATTATTATAGAGATATGGCAACAAAGTGTTATCAAGTTGTTCAGATGTAAGAAACATAATTGTGTTAGTTCAAGTTTTTAGTTTAATTCAGATAATCGTCTTGTTTGTTAAAATAAAAAATTAAATGTCTGAGTTAAACAGTTACTTTTGCATTTTCGAAAGGAGCAGAAAATTATATTTTAATTTCATCAACAATAAATACCAATTCATGAAGTCGATGCTCATTTACTGCAGGTCATTACGAATGAAGCAAACAAATACTTCATTCCGTAGTATTAATTTTTCATTGCATAAACTTTGCAACAAATTATTATTACCCGGCATTAGACTTATTTATTTCAAATCTTATGTAGGGCATTACAATGCAGAAAATGCTAACAATTATCGCTGATAAGTAATCGTAATACGACCTAAATGTTATAGCTAAAAAATGAAATTCTCGCTTATTATTTAACATTCATTGCATCTATACTTCACGTTGCATCAGAAGCCATTTTATATCAATATTACAATCATAGTAATAATACATATTACATAATATTGCAACATGTATTTTGTGGTGTTGCTAGCCTAGTGTAGTACTTTGTATTTTGTTGTATTGCCCAATGTAATTGTTGGAAACGAGATAACGTTGGCAATTCAGAGTCTGACGAAGTATGTTTCTGAAAACTCAGACTTTTTTCTTAATTTCTAGTTCAGGGTTGAGACCCTGAAACTAAAGGAAACTTATAATTTGCTGCATCAAAAAATATTGACATTTGTTTCAAATTATATGACTTCATCATAAAAATCAAAACAGTAACTTCTTTTTTTGATTTTTGGAAAGCAACGTAAAAACATTGCACACTTACATCATCATCATTATCCAGACTGTTTAAGCGGATATGAACCCCTTCATAGCAATCCTCTTCATTCTGATTAACCTATAAAATACATCTCATTAATTTTACCATTTTTAAGTATTCTCACCACTAGATATCATTACCATCATCTAATTTAGAATTTTCATTTTTTAAGTACAAAAGATCCAATTTAGAGTTTCTTTTGTGAACACTACAAAAATGATATAACATGAAATTACTTTTTTCGGTTTCAGGATTGATGAACTTGTAGTATTGTAATGTGGATTAAATGTTGCTATCTGAACACCACAAAAATTTGCTTGGGGATAACCATATTGCTAAAATTTAATATTCTTCGTAACTTAACTTTCTTATCTAAACGTTTTTTGTATTTTGTATTGTTTTCTTTAAAATTTAAAGCTTTCGAATAAAATTATTTTTGGTTAAAATTTCACTGAAATTGTCGGTCGGAAGGAAAGTTCATCAAATTCGGCTTTCAAGCTTCGAGTTGTTGAAGCTGGAGAATCAAGAAACCGATTCTCAAACCCATCACGCAAACGCTCCACAAGACCATCTTCAGAAAGCGAATCTTCAGTGTTACTTTCACTTCCTTGAAATTAGCGAAGTGTACAAATTCAAATACGTCTTTAAAGTAGGAAATTTTCAGATAAGATCTATATTGATATGAGGATTAAATTATGGAAGGTATTTCCTAATTATTCTTGCAAAATTAAATTGACAATAAATCAAAGCAAATAACTACTGAAATTGAAGACATTTCAGTAAATTTTAAAATATTATGCCTAGAAGGAATTTAGTAAAATGTACTATAGTTTAAGTAAAATTTCGTCTAATCTAAAGAAATAAGAGATAAAATCTATAATTCTGAGAGCCGCTTTTTATGGTAGAAAATTGATGGAAAGTATTTAACCTTGTAACAAACGGTCTAATTGCCTAATTTGTTTAGAACATATTCCATCTGCGTGTAGAGCTGAATCCATAGCAGCAAGGACTGGACGTGATGCTACTTCATATTCTGAATTTGATTACTATATAAAATAATTCTCTCTCAAATTAAAATTTTTCCATCATATATTAAACAATCTCATACAAAATGCACACGTTATTGCCTATATTCTGTAAAAATTTGAAAATCTATGGTATTTGCTTACAAAGTAAGTATCTAACATCTAATCTAGAATTTTTAAGGTGAATTCAGGAAAGTACCGGATCGTTGCATTGTAGTATTTCCTACTTCTTTCATTCTATTATCATTGATAATGTTATGTTCATTTGTGATTGGTTCAAACTAAAATGAAAATTATAATTCAAGTTCAAATGTTAACTTTATTTTTTTAGTGTTAATTTTTTGTGTTGTTAAATGTTTAAAAAAATGAAGAAATTATAAAAAATAAGAAACAAAGTAGTGAATTTAAATCTATAAATAATCCAGTTTTAAAATTTCAGTTTATTTATTTGTTTGTAATTGAATGGAGTATTTTTGCGCACTTAATCTACTCGATATGTAAATCACATCATGTAAAAAAAAAAAGTTTTTTTTGCTTAAATTTAATAATTGGTTAGTTTCACATGAAATATGTTTAAGTGTTAAAAATCTACCAAGTAATCGTCCCACAGCATCAACTGGGAACCCGATAAATCTGGACATGACCCACCGAATGGGTTTATTTCACTATTTGGTGTTTCCGTAGATGGTTGCTCCAGCAGACAATTCTGAAAGATTAATTTTATTTCCAAAATATTGCAATCAAATAAATTAGAGTTACAAATATAGATTTTAATACACAAATATTTATGTATGGATTACACAGATATGAAAGGATATACTAATGTTCAGTAGCAAAGCACATTTGATAAATTAATGCAGCCAAGCAAAACAAAATTTGAATATTTTGCAAGTATTAGTTTTGATTTGATTCCAGTTAATTATTGAAGGAATAAATAAAGAAAGAAGACCTTATTTAAATTTGGTTCGGAGGATGCTGTTTGAATTTGAGCTTGGCTTGATTCTCTACCAGATACTCCTGAATCACCACAGGAACTAGCACCATTTGATTTCTGTAGTTTTTTAAAAAAAATTGTGAATTATTACAAGTTTATTATGCGCAGAAAATTATTTAAACTTGTGAGTTTTGTTTACTAATTATCTAAGAATATGAATGTTTCTTTGCATTCATTATTCCATAATATTTTCATTGAGAAATTAATCGCATGCATTATTGTTTCAAATTTGTAATTGCATTTTTTTTTTCTGCAAAATTGTTAAATTTTTGTTATTAAAATTATTATTTAAAAAAATGAGTATTCATTTGAATTTTTTATGTGAGTTTTTAAAAATAAGCATGAAATTCAGTATTAAAAGTGCTCCATTTCTCATAAAACAAATGAGTAAATGCAAACTACTTCGATAGCACTAAACAAATTAGCTTTCAAACGTCGACGTCGTTTTCTGCGTTTTTTCTTTAAAATAACTGCCGGAATTGAAAGTCCCATTCCAGCTAAAAAATTAATTTACACTTGAAAGATTTCTTCTAAAACTGAAACTTTGAACTACCATACATGACATACAAAGTAAACGAATAAATAAATGAATAGATAGATAAATAAATAAATAAATAAATGACTGTTATCCTAAAATATGTTTTTTAATGAAAATGCTGCCATAATTCAGGATGAAGCTTTCATTTTGAGTCCAAAAACATTTTCTGTGATGATGAGAGCTATAGCAAAGCAAAATTACTTTCTCGAAACTATTTGAGCCTCGAGATACTTAAAAGCAAATTGAAAAAAATAAATTATCGAAGAATTGTTAAATATAATAATGAATCAAAACTGATGATAAAGCTTCAAAAAGTTTATTGACAAGAGCTGTAATCGTAAAATGAAAGATTCTCAGATTCATTGTGTTCGTTTAGATGCATTAAAATTCCTTTTTTATTTCAATTTTACAAATTTTTCGGCTTCAGAATCAGTTTGGATTAATCATCAATATAATCCTGAAGGTAGTAGTTCTGATAAAGTTTGCCTTACTATCTCATAATTTTGGTTCACTCAAGGTACTAACTATGTCTTTCTGAGTAACGTTTTAGTTGATATGAATTTTCCAATATTTTCTCAAATCTTCTTCAATACCAAATAAAAATATGTGTAATTCAAAATATTTAGTTTCATGACATTAAAATTTTACTTTCATCCACAAAGTTCTTATATTAATCTTTTTAGATGAAGTATGTCTTTTTTGTTTGTTTGTTTATATTTAGAAATTCTAATTACAATAAAAATTCACCATTTTAAATAATCAAAATGCATATTTTGTAATCAGAAAAGTATTTTTTTACGAATTTAAGAATCATTCCAGTAATTTAATTAAATTATCATCACATATAAATTGGATTTCTGATGGAATAGCTATCTAAAATTGAAAAAATCAAAATCAAAAAGAATGAGTGATAATTTACTATCATGCTTACATATTAAAAAGATAAATGCTTAGAAAATAATTTTTTTTTAAAAAAAAAAGAAAGCAATATCAGAACAAAATCAAAACATTATGAATATAAAATATGCTAGTTTTAAATGTAATGAGAAAATTCATGAGTTGAGGCAGAAACTGATTTATTTTGAAAGAAATAAGTGGTGATGTTATACATATTTTATTGTAAAAATGACACAAAGCATGAGAAGTGGGAAATATTTAAGTTACGCAGTAAAATTTTATCTATTCAAAATCAATCATGAAAATTATTCGATTTAAATTATTTTTATTTTAATATAGAGAAATTATTAAATTTTTAGTCTTGGTAAGAGTAACAACAACAACAACATTTGTTCAAGAATTCAAAAAAAGAAGTTAAAATATTGAAAATATCACTATCTAAAAATACATTATTATATATTAATTATCTATACTGACAACATGTTTAAGTAAACGTCATGGGACCAAAACAGCCGTTCTTTTGCGTTTTTTTATTAGTATAACATCAAAATTTGATGAAAAATTAGATAAATAAATTAAATAGATAGATAGATAGATAGATACATAGATAGATAAATAAATTGACAAATAAAAAGGTAGGTAGATAGATAGATAAATAAATAAATATATGCATAGATAGCTGATTAGATGGTTTTTGATACGGTGTCGTAGCTGAAGAATGAGGTGAAATGAATATTTTAGAAGTATTATGGAGACAAGCTAAGGCAACCTACAGACTTGATGCTCGGTGCCAATGATATATATGCAATGACTGATGACAACAAGTCCCAAGCTATCTACTTCATATTCAATGCAACACAAATTTCTTGTTCCGGTGCAAAAGAAGAAGAAATAAATTATAACTAACCAAGTTCAAGCTTATTTATAATCATTTATTTACTTATTTACTTATTTATTTACTTATCTATTTCTTGCTAGTTTGTCTTGTATTCTTTAATCGAAGAATTGTAGAATTAAACGACTTTTGAAAACATTTGCAGTAAAAAGATGCAACGTATATATTATCTAGTTTAGTATGAAATTGAAAGATAAAAAATGAAATTTACCAATAGGTCTAAAATCTCTTGAGAAAATCTAATTTATCAATGTTATCTTAAAATTTCAATTTTCATGATTAAAATTTAATTATCAACATTAGCAAAATGCTGAAGTTGTCTATTTCATTACTCTTATAAATTACTGTAAGAGAGTAATTAAAAAGATAACTTTCGATGTTTTTTATTCTAAGATATACCATTAAAACAAATTGAACATATGCAAGAGAGATAACTTACAGTTTATGTGAGTAATATTAGCAGAATAACCAGGTGGTACCATATCGAGTGCTTCACGCAATGCCAAAGCGGTCTGATTAATTGCTGGTATCGGAAAAGGAATCATTGGAGGAACATGAAGAGGTGGCGGTGCTGGTGCTGGTGCTGGTGCTGGTGCTTGTGGCGGTCCTGTGCCTGTATTTGACATAAAATATGGTGGCGGTTGACCAATCGACAACGGTACGATAGCTGTTAAGATAGCAGATTATTAACTTACACATAATAATGTGTGAATATTATTGAAATGCATGCATCTCTTTAAAAAATAATTTCTTACAAGTAAACATGGCATACCGTTTACTTTATTTCCATCAAACTTTGTTTCGTTATTACGATAAATTAGCATTTTTCTATAATTATATGCAATTTATTAATTATAAATAACTTAATAATTGCGATATAAATTATTATGAAAACATTGCAGCTAATACTTAATAGAATAAACATTTTTATTTTCAAATAATGAAAGACGTAATTTGTGTTAGCAATATTAATCAATACAAATGCAATTTTTTGATAATTAACTTTACATTCTTGCTGCCTTTGTGTGAATTACTAATTGAATTAGCAAGTATCATATTAATTTATCATTAGCAATTAATAATTTACTTTGTGGTGGCATTACAGGTTGTGGAAGGTCAATAACAGTATGAGCAGGTGAAAATTGTGTTGGAATTGTTGCTGCAAGAGCAGCAGCTTGAGCTTGAGCATGAGTAGGGATCGGAATTTGTTGTCGGGTCATAGTATTAGGCAGAATGACCTGATTAACTGGATTACTTGCAGGAAATTGATTTCCCATGGTCTTTTGATTGTAAAAATATGATTCGTTGAAAAGTTGCTTGGATCGAGGGACAAATTCCGGTGCTTTTAGCCATTCTAAAATTAACCAAGTTTAAAAAATTAACTTCAATGTATTCAGAAATAATCACAAATTCAAAATTGATGTGATTATCATTTTAGACAAACTCATTTTGCACATCTTTACTTTCAAAATGTTATCGGCAAAAAGTTTTTGCATTTACTGACACACATCATGGCTACTCATCAACTTATTTTGTCCTTGAAGGATTTTCAAAAATTTGTAAATGAAATGAAAGAGTTATTATTTAAAAAATTAATAAGATTACGAGTATAAGAATTTAGTTAATTTTTAGCTAAGGATATTGAAAGTTTTTAAATACCGTTTAGTTAGTGGGCAACAATTTTATAGATAAAAAAAATGTAACAAGTAACAGTACAAGAAATATGAATCAAATTTTGAAGTACTGTACAATTGTTTATTGCTTTTTACTACTTCACTACTGAAAACTTTGAAATTATAAAAAGTTTAATTTGCATTAAACTTTTTACAATTTTTTTGTAAAATAATAAAGGCAAAAACATTTATATTAAAAGCAATATTCCATTGTTTCAAATTATAAACTAAGCATTCGAATATCATAGCTGTTAAAAACTTGAGACTTAACAAGCGTTCATTCTTACGCTGATTAAAATTTTGAGCTAATTCAAGACATTCTCATTTCATTACTTACATTTCATCTTCTGTATGACATTTAAAACAATAATGAAAATCAGCGCTGCGCTTCACGACTACTCATCATCGTCTTATATTTTACTTTATTTACGTTACAGCTCATATTAGTGATAAATACGAAGTTAATTATATACTAAACAATAATTATTAGTAGAGGTCAAATGATTAAGAAACTTAACAAATCATGAAATTTGGAATACAAGGTTCACTTAACCATACATTTTTGAATCAAATCATTTAAATATTTGTTTAATTTTTATCAAAGGCACGCTTGATGTGTAAGTCATTTTTGAAATGCATAGCTCATTAATTTTATTGAAGTCAAATTCTGATCTATTGTAATTTACTGTATACTGTATTATGCGCCATAATAATTTATGAAAATTATTTTGTACATTCTATGTCATTGTTTTATTTAAGCTAAATATAGTGTAGTTATGATTTTAGGCAAATTTTTTTGACAATATTGAAGCAATCTTTTTCCTTTGCTAATATGATCAAAAATTTGAATAATTCGTGGAATCTGATAATATTGAAAGGTTATCCCATGTTGAAAAAAATCAAATATAAGCACGGAAAGCAATAATTTGTAATTTTTATTATTTATCATCGTTTGGTCTTAGTGATTCTTTTTCTCTATTTTTATATTTCTACTGGATGATGATAAATTTACAATAAATTTTTTTCACTAAAATCGAAAGTTGCAGTAATTAAGTAACAATAGATCAATTTTTTAAAGTAACAATTTACCTTTAGGATCAATTTTAGTTTTGATTTGTTGTTTTGAAGATTCATTTTCATTATTACGAGTATCTGAGATTGGACTTTGTGTTTCAGTACTCCAGTATGCAGGTGGCGGTCGATCTTCTACGTCAAAATATATTCGCTTTGATTGCAAGTTTTCCATTTTCAAGATAAAGTATATAATATACACAATCAAGTACTTATCAGTGCTAACATTTTATAATAATTCAGTCTTTTGCTTACTGTTTATCCATGCTGAAATATATTAACAATGAAGTGTAAAATTTTCTTTGATTTAATAAACTTACAAGATATAATATAGAAGAAAAGCACTAATACGTTTATTAACTTTTCATAAAAGTAACGATTTATTAAAAGTATATTTCTCATCCAAATTATTTGCGGAAAATGGCTGGAAGAAGCTTGTAAAAGTTTTTATAAATTCTTATGCATTAACTATGTTTGTTTTTAAGTAATTCGAAAAATGCTCTTCACACGAAAATCTATGAAAGATAATGAAAAAATAAATTAATCCTCACAAGTAAAAAAATATTATATCTCCATTATTATTTCATTATTGTTTAAAATTTTTTTTACATTCGAAGAAACAATAAATAAAAGAAATTGCAGGAATTATCACGACAGTATTAATAATTTATTTTTTGCTTTTACAAAACCTATTGTAATTTCAATTTAGTGATTATATTTTTTGTTTTTAAAGAAAATGATTTATTATCACTGAAATATCACAAAAATATGTTTATTAATTATTTTAAAATTCTTTTTTCATATTTAATGATCAAATATTTGCGCAGTGTTTTGCAAAAATTAATTTCACTCAGGTAGTTTTCATGTTTTCCGAATAATAAACTTACTTGCTTTCATTAACAAGAGAGAACATTTTAAATGCAAATTATTAATGCATATCTGAATTAATGCTTATCACCTGAGTAAACTTTTCAGTGATAGATTAATCAGATCAATTTTATGCAAAAAAAAAAACTTTCCTATTGCAAATAATAATTACAAAAATGAAATAAAATAAAATTATAATCACAAAATTATTCATTGAAAGTTAAAAAATGCAAATGAAAATTTTTCAGTGACTATTCATTGACAACTTAAAGTGCCATTTGATAGATACCATTTGATACTTTATGGAATGAAAAATAGCAAAAAACCTTTGGTAACATTTTTTAATTTATAAAGTAAATTGTAATAAAAACAATTGAAAGCACTAAGAATTTTTAAGGTTAATACCTGAAAGGTATTACTGAATACTTAAACGTAAAAATGAGCAATAAGAGTGGAAAAAAAAAGGAAAATTGAGCAAGTTGAAATTAGATGAAACGATGCAGTGAATCATTCTGCTTGAAATATGAAAACGCTGTCGATTGCAAGTTTGCTGACTGCTCGAGCAGTTGATTAGACGAAGATTTGTGAAGTTGAACAGGGAAATGCAGAAGAGTATAGCAGCAGTACCAAATGTTTGAAAAATTTTCATTTACACATTTTTCAAACACTCACACAAACAGAGGCACTCTTTGCTAATACACTTAGACACTCTTGTTATTGATATCATTATTATTATTATTACTACTTTTATTATTTTTTATGATAATAATTATTATTATTATAGCAATCGTTATTTTAATTTGTTGCACTAACTTTTATTACATGATATGACAGTTATATTTTTGACACTTTTTTACGTCATTAACATTGTTATTGCTATTAACTCTTTACTGTTTTTCCTGTTATTGCTACCTAATCTCTATTATTCCCAGCATTTTAATTACTATGCTTATTATTACTATTATTATTACCATCAGTATCGCCACTGTCATTTACTACCAAGCGATCATAGTAATTTCGAAGTAGTTGTTGCTGAATATGAAGCTAATTTTTTCCATTCTTTCCTTTTCACATCGGCCGATGACTTGCTCTTCTATGAATTCGTTAAACTAGATGAACTCAAATGATACTGAAAATATCATTTAAAAAAAGCAGTCAAAAAATCTAACACCTTCTATTGCTTTTATACCAATTATCTGGTTTTTTTACTGTTAATCATTTCAAATTTGCATCGGTTAAAGTATGAAATGTATATTGAAAAGAAGATTAAAAAGAAACGAGTTAATTGTACTGTTAATTGTATAATTACTTTTTTTTCGTAATCTTAATAGCTAATGAATGGATTACTGAAACATACACTATCAGCTCTACCCGTTCAAGATCATTCAAATTAATGAATTTTTTTCTCCAGTATAACATAAAGCAAGAAACTTGGACAAAAATTTAATTTATGCAGATTAAATCACTCATATACAATATTTATTTTGATACTTGACATTTAAAAAGTGGAATAACTTGAGTTCAGAAATAAAAATGAAAAATATTCCACTCCACAGCTATTTTTTATATTTAGCATATAGAGAAATTAGTTTCATTTAAAATAAGTAATTCCGTTAATATTGCATTAAGTGCGCAGAATTCTTTCTGTAGTAATCACAAACCACAATATAATGACCATATGGATTTTGAGAATGGAACTCAGAGCAAATATCTTTCAGAGCTTCAATATTTCAGATTTATCACTGCAATACTGCTTTTAAAGAATCATATCTATATCACTCTGTGGTCGAAACTAAAACTATAAATAATAAAAGTAGTGTACTAAACATCGTCCATTTTACTTATTCAACAACAAAAATCTCATCTCTATTTATTTTTGTGAGTGAACATATGTGAGTAGTAAATAAACGCAAATATTGAGCGAAAACTTCTACAAAAACTCTCAAAGCAAATATTGCAAAAATCACAGAAAAAACAATTTGCTCACGGTTTTACTCATGCATCCTATTTTCACTAATCACTTAGTAGCATTCTACAATTGGCATGTTAGGTCAACTTTTGAGTTCATCTAACATAAAACCAGTATATTCTATAAATATACATTACATATATTATTGATTTTTTTAAAATACCTACGACCTGCAAGTCAAACTGAATGCGATGAATTTTATGGATCTCCTAACTACTGCAAATAAATCGTAACATCCCACTCTTCGCTTAGCATTCCCTATCCTTTTCTGATTTTCTAGAAATTAGCCATATAAATCCTACTGAATTTCAAAAAACATATTCACGAGATGCTTTGTGATGATTTCCTAATCGATGAAATAAAAACTCATCAAAAGTATAGTTCTCCGCTGAATGACAACACTCAAACGGTTTTTCAGCTAATGCTTTTCATTAGTTTACTGCATCTGGCTCTATTATTGACAACTACAGCCTACCAATCCTTCTCGATGATAAATTATTAAATTAAACTAATTTTAGAGTGAGTTCAACATAAATTTGAAAAATTTAAAATATGATCATGCATAATTTTGCGACACAACTTATTTGTTTAATAAAAATGCCGTAAATAATCCATGCAATAATGGTAAACTTCAAACATTTTTATATTTAATAAAAATAGTTACCGGAATAAATTGATTACAACAATGTAAAGATATTCTTAAAAAAAGACCTTGCGAGAAAAATAAATCTCACTTGAGCAGACAACAAATATAAATAAATCTATTGTATGGTTTTCTTGAGCTGACTTTAACAGAATCATGACTACTAACGAAAACAGTAGGCATATTACCGGTGTAGGATGCAATACGAATTGTATGACCAAACGTACGACCTGCAAGTCAAACTGAATGCGATGAATTCTATGGATCTCCTAACTACTGCAAATAAATCGTAACATCCCACTCTTCGCTTAGCACTCCCTACCCTTTCCTGATTTTCTAAAAATTAGTCATATAAATCCTACTGAATTTCAAAAAACAGATTCACGAGATGCTTTGTGATGATTTCCTAATCGATGAAATAAAAATCCATCAAAAGTATAGTTCTCCGCTGAATGACAACGCTCAAACGGTTTTTCAGCTAATGCTTTTCATTTACAGCGCTATTGAAAAGAAAGAATAAAAGACATCGGATCCTTAATTATGTATGAAAGCCACATGACTTTAAAATTTGTTAACGCAAATACTAACAACAGCGTTGCAACTGTCACTAATGCATGAAAATCGTGGTACGCCATGGGAAGAGTAAGAGTGACTTCAAAAATCCGTGAAAATATCCTCCTTCACACAAAAATTCCTAACTGGTACATTTCTCCCCTATTCCCTTCAACACGCAGTCATTTAAATTTAGATGTGGAATGGATAACTGACCTTTTCAGATTTGAATTTCTAAATACCTTGGTCGTTCGCTACATTATTTCCGTGAAATAGTTTCAAAAGTTTCGGAACTAAATTTTATATGAAAATAGTATTTTTCATCTGTGGTACAATAGTGCAGAGATCGAAAGATTCTCCATTATTGCACAATGGGAACCACATATGAAAGACTTAAAAAAAAAAGAACATCAAAAACAGAAAAAAACACGAAAAGAGATATTATACAATCATTCAAATGAAATGTATTCTATGCCATCATGAGAACGCTTCCGTGAGTGTTCTCCAGTAGTACGGTTCATTTGGTGGTGACCATACTGTCCCATTGTGGCAACATACGGTATGTGCTCTTTGTGATGAGCATTAGCCATGGAACAACCAGTAATGTCATGCTCAGGAGCGATTTCATAAACATGATTATTTATAGGTGGTTCACTACCATGTGCCACCATCTGTGCTTCCTAAAAAATATCTAAGTTGATGTTTTTTAAACTGGCAATCACCGCACCAAGTTCATTACAACCTTCTTACTACTACTCGACAAGCACATTTTATAATAGAAGATAGATTCATACCATTAAGGTCACATTATTAGATTCAGCTAAGGACGGCCTAAAATCAGCTTCCGTTACGAAACTTGGCATTTCTTCATTCATAACCTTGTCGCCAATCCGATTATCGGTTTCCAAAATTCCGGAAGGCAAAGATGGATTAGTGTCAGAAACTGTTGCAACCTAAATAACGTTGATTGATGAAAATAATAAAAAATCTAGAAAGCAAGGAAAAAAATGAATACCACGCGACGAAGCAAAGATTAAGCAGTTTACCTGAATAGGTAACAGTTGCTGAGTACCATTAGGATTTTGTACATTTATATAATGTTGCCCAGTGGTTGGATCCATTAGAAACTGCAACTGCTGCACATTACCAGCATCCAAAACTCGTATCACACCATCAGCATCTTCTTGAGCTATAAAATCTTACTTTTGATATTATTATACTAATTATATAAACGAAATGCAAGTCAAAAGCACAACCACAGAAGTTCAATCGCGGTTCTGAGATCACATGATGACATAAAGAAGTATCTCTTCACCTGCGAAAACAACTTGAGATGTACAATCACTTGTTGATGGCACCGGTTCATTGCCATCCTGTATAGTGTAAACATCAGAATGAGATACAACTTGATTCACATTAACTTTCTCCTAAAAATTAGGATTTTTTTTTCAAATAAAAAAGAAAACCACAAAGAAAAACTAATTTGAAGATCATGAAATAAACCAATGTTTTAAAAAGAAAAAAAATTAACCAAAAATGAAGCTTGAGAACTTGACGATTCTGTAATTGTTTCATTACTTCGATCTGCACGAAAAGCCTCCCGAAACCTAAAATACTCAACTGAGATCTTTGTCCGTTCATAGCGATGTGAACGAAAGTAGAGCTTCAAATTAGATGGGACTTTATGAAAATGAGGGGCAAAAACAGATGAAATGGAACCTTACTTTTTTACGTATACACTCATTGGTTCCACATAATTGTCAAAACCGAGAGTAGAAAATGCCAAAATGATGTCTTCGCCTGTTATTGTTTTTCTTTTTTCCTTAAAAATTTGTTTTTAACACAAAGAAAACCAAAAATTTTTTTTCATAGAAAAAACCATGGTACAAAAAACTTGTTTGTTACGACAGAGCTAGTCTCAGTGCAAGTATTCATGATAACATTTCTGCTGCATTATTTGTAGTGTAAAAGACGGTGCAGAATAACAGCTCGAAAATACATTGAAAGTACACCTCGAACTCATGAACTATAAATTTTAGATCGTATGCAACATACATTAATACATCGATCACAAGCTTCCGATGTGATAAAAGAAATGAATTCAGACACACATTCTTGGACGCATTCTTTTGCATCTTTAGCAACTTTTCCTGATCGAGGAATCACATTTTTCATTAATCGGGATATGTTTGCTGCAAAAAAAAATGTTTTGGACAGTATGTGAAACTTAAAAAAACTACTAATTATAAAACTAAACCAAACTCACGAACCAATAGGCAGAAAACGATCCTGTTCTAAAATAGGTTTTGGGGACATATTATCTTCTGAATGATCATTTCCACCTTGTCCACTACCGTTAATCTGAAAACAATTTATTAGCCAAACAAGAGTATTCGTGATATTCATTTTAAATGAACGTATTGCAGCAACTCCATAACACATCTTTTCCTGTTCGGTTTTTGTAATAATTCCATAATCTCAAGTTTTCTGATCATTGCAGTAATAGAAATGATGATTATGATGGATAGATATAGATGGAATCAAATACTTGCCTTTTACTTGTGAAATAAGATAAAATACCAAACTGTCAAACACGGTCATTTGCTTAGTAACAGTAAAAATAGGATATGATCAACAAAGACTGAAAACTAGAAGATTTCAAATTAGAAAGCTTACCTCTTCCAAAGTGCCATCCGTCTGGCATGCACTATCTTCTCGTTGACGCTCACTCAAAAAGTTTTCCGGATTTTTCTCACCACTCATAATGATAAACTAACGCTGAAAATAAGTCATAATTTGAAACAAATTATTTTCCAACACTCTTATATTCATTACTGATAAAATAGAATTTTGTAGTATTTCCTAGAGCGCAACATAGATGCTTCCACGTTCTTAATTCTTTGTACTTTGAAATTAAACTACACAGAGCAATTTTTTCCTTTTAAAGTAATATGAAGTAATGCCATCTACTTTGAAGTGCAATGTGCATTTTAAACTAAATCAATAACTGAAAGGGGTTCAGTTTTTTAATTAAAAAGTTATGTTAACATTAACTGACAAAAGCAAACATTAAAATAAGAAAAACTCGTACAAATAATAAACTACAAATACCATAAAAGCAATCTTAACTAACACAACCTCTAGTCTACTACTTCAAATTCTGTGCCTTGCAATAGGCAACAATGACAGTCTGCTTGTGTCACGTTTTATCTCCAATGAAACTCGTTGCAAGCGAAGCCGGCAAATTTGTTTACATTACATTAGCTAACTGTCATTGTGACCTAAATATCAAGTACATCAACGGTTATTTTTTCCTTCTGTTTATGTATTTACTGCTTTCAGTAGTGAAATTTGGTGCACTTATCAATTCTAAAAGGTCGGGCTTTTTTTTTTTTTAAATCGAAATTTATGCCTAAGCTAAATTTTCACTTCAGATGCGGTCTTTGAATTGCAGCTGTGACCATTATTGCATATTTGTAACATTGATGATACTTACACAATCTGGAGTATAACTATTCATTACTTCTGTTTCTTCATAATCAATACCAATAAAGTTTGAATTTTGAGTTATATTATCATGTTACATTCAATTATGAATATTTTCCGGATTCAAAATCTTTGGATTTCTTATCGCTTGAAATAAGCAGTTCTTACTGGTATTTCATTACCGTTTGAGTAATCATCTTGAAAAATACGAATCAATAATGGTTCCGATCACGAATAACGCTACTTCTTTAACAGTTGTACAAAATAATACGAGCAAAAGAATTAATCACATTCCTACTACAGGTAATTTACTTGAAAAATCACGAATCTGAGTTCAGTTGTTCTATATTTCGTTCTAGTTCGGTGTATTCAGCTATAAAATTGATTGGTATGGATACAAGATTGGTTGTTTTGAAATTAATGCTATTGATTTTTGCCATTGATTATAGTAATTGTTATTTGTTGCACATTTTGTGTATTATTTACGTTCATCTTATTTATTATAGGTTTTCCTCACTATGAATAACCGAAATTGTAATTTCAAATATGGACCTAAACTAATAAGATGTTTAAATATTTAATAATATAGTTTAAATATCTCATTTAGTTCAAGCTTTTCTCAATTTTAAATATTATCTAGAGACGTCTTTTTTTTGAAAAAAACAATTGTTTGTACAGATTTACATCGTCACTGATTACCTGAAATACAAGAAGTCAGTACTTGACTGTGCAATTATTTCTTGCAGGGCCTTATCCATATCATTTTCATGGAACAGTTGTTACTGGATTCGGTCGAGGTAGTAAGCTCCTGGGATGTCCTACAGGTATGTTGTTTATATATTTAAGAACTGGTTGTGTACATATTGAAAAAAATTTCCTTTAGCAGTTACAATGGTGCTACTTTTTTGAAGAAGTAGCATTGTTCATGATTAGAATCATCAAAAAAATGTATTTGAGTATTTCGAAAGGGTTAAATAGGACCTGGTTTTTTGTAAAGTTATAATTTTCGGGAATTATCGTGATAAATGACAGTTGTATCAGCATCTTTAAAAACTACAGAAATTTGTGATTTATAATCACAAATTATACTAAATTATATACTTGTTTTTGTGCCACTTTCTTTTTACTTCTCGTATTTTTTCACCTTTTACTTTAAGAACAGCAAAAATTGTGTCCTTTTCTTCATTTACGAAAGTTGTCAAATATATTTTATAAAAATCATGTGACACGCATTTTATTTATCGCTCAAGTATATGGCGAATTATATGCATAGATTTAAGATTGCGCCATCTGTAAATAACTACTGCTAAAACTTTATAGCAAATTTGGATGATAACGCTATTGCGCGTCTTCCTTCGGATTTTCCATGTGGGGTGTTTTATGGTTTTGCCAATGTCAATGGTGGTGAAATCTATGGAATGGTAACTAGTATAGGATGGAATCCACATTTCAAAAACGAACGAAAAACTATTGTATGCTCTTTACAATCATTCATTTTGAAATTCGTTTTTGTTTGAGGTCTTTTTGAAGTGTGCGAAATTTTTTCCTCATTGATAATCAACATTAGATATCTATTATAATCTTATTGTGTTTCAGGAAGTTCACATACTTCATGATTTTGCAGAAGATTTTTATGGTGCAACGCTCCGAGCTGTTGCTGTTGGATTTTTGCGTGAAATGTATTCATTAAATTCTTTAGGTGCACTTTAGCCTCCAAATTTTTACTTACTTCGCTTTATACATATTATTGTGACTCTTTTATGCTGAGAATGTCAAAATAATCTGAAAAAAATTAAACATATCAAAGTTAAGTTCGAAAAATTTCAGACGAACTTAAAACAACTATACGTAATGATATATCAATGGCAAGAAGTCTGCTGTCAACTCAAGAAATGATAATTTACAAAAAATCGGACTTTTTTTTCGAGTAATTAGGGTAAAATGATTCCAATTAATTTATTTCATTCCCTATATTTTTGTGTATATTCTCTGTTAACTTTCTGTGATAGTGAGAACATGGTATCAACAATGAAATGAGCGTAAATGTTAATTTGTTCAGATATTTTTCCTGTATTCACTTTAAACTAATGTAAAGATTTTTTTTTTCACTTTCATAAATCTTCACTTTGCATGATGGTTGTTATTACACTTTGATTACGTTTTTTTCGTCTAAAGTAGTACGGAATATTGAGTTTGTCTGGGAACAAAACTTGTGTTTAAATACGTACTAGCTGAAATGTTAAGTTACATTTACTTCTTTTTGGTTAGGATACTATCAGTTTTTAATTTTTTTTAATTTTAATTTTTTGCATCACTGAGCTGTACGAAGTGAAATACATGAAAATCGTATTCCTTCAAAGCTTTCTAATTTTATTGTTTTTTTCAGTTTCATTAATCACTGCTTTGAAATATTCGGGTGCAAATCTTGTGAGGACTATCCAGTTTAATTTCCCTACATTAAATTTTGCCAGCACAGGTCTCTAAGATTTCGGTAGATCTACTACAGTCATTCATATTATTGAAGATAACTCTGGAAGGTAATCGAGAAAAAAACTTAAGGTTCATTTGTGTACATATTCTTTCCATAATATGATAGTGAAGTTTGAGATTACTGAGTGGAACAGTTCGTAATTTAAGTTGATATGCTTTTCTCTTACTTGAGAAATATGAAACTTTTTTTTACTGTTGTGAATTGTTTTTCTCTGGCCTAAATTGTCTCACTGTCATGTACAAAATGATTTGAATTGGTACTAATATTTTGAAATAAAAAGCATTGTTAGGATACAATTTCAGGAATATTGTAAACTTCTTGTGCTTAGAGATGTAAGTATCATTGTTTTCTAAAAACCTTTTTTTCTCATTTATGGCAAATTTCTGGTGATGAGGTTGTAAGAAAATTTTCACTGTGTGAAAAGATTAATTTAAACAATTAATTATTGGAAATTGTAATCAGCTTAGTTTTTTGCAAAATCTGTTGGCCGGAACATGATACGTAAGTCAGCCAGATCAACTATGCCATTTTTCGAAATATAAATCATGCAGTTCCTAACTTTATTTCATCGGCTTTAATATATCACATATTGCGATGGTATTGATCATTACATCTTAAAAGTGCAATATTATGTCAATAATAAATAGCCATCAGTCCTAGATTTCGATCATTTATCTTTTGAAATAGATCAAATGCCATCTGTTGAATCTTTGACGTCTGGAAGGTTGCAAGCTTCTTTTCCTCATTTGACTGCTTAGGGTTTTGATGCTTTAGTTCCACTTTTCTTTTATTAAATTATTTTACACTTAGTGTTTAATTATGATCTATCTGCTATGGTAGCATGTGTCTATGTAAGATTGCTTTAACTAGAATTACGACGGGTGTGGGCGAGTCAGCTTGGAATCGTTTGAAGTGAGATTTAACAATTTTCGATTCAGGCCGTGATAAAAATGAATGAAAGTGATATTTCTTGCAGCTATACTGTTTCGGTATATGGGTGTGGAGACAGGTTGTTTAAGGAGACGAGAGTCAGCATAAAATAACGTCCTTCAATAATGGCAGTACGGAGTTGAATTTACCCACGTTTCGAAATTTAGATTCATTTATTTGGCTCGATGAAGATGGAATCAAACCCAGTCGAGAATGTGCTCTATGTTGCTGATTCGTATAAGGTATATTTTGCCCAGCGGGCATCATCAACAATAGCAGGAACTGCCTGATGATTCGAATCTCCATCTTTCGTTCCATTGGTGCTTTTATAGCGTGTCAAATCAGACTGTATTTCTGAAAATGAAATAATTTGTCAGCGTTGTGTTATGTTATCCCGTTAAATTCATCCAGTACCCGGTTTTGCTCTCTTGATTGAAACAGTTCGGATTATAACCTTGCCCAGTTTTTGATATGACAGTCCATCGTACTTTTCTGAGATACCAGGTTGGTCTATGCGAAAGATTTCGATTTCAAGTGAATTAAATTACGGGGTAACAGATCAGTCTTTGATTATTTTCAAGCTTGAATTTCAAAAATTTATTCTGAGCAGTAACCATCAAATATATGAATATAAAGCTGTAAATTGTTCAGGTGACGCACCATAATCAGTATCCAGAAGGCACCACACAAGTTTACAGTTACTTTGAGAGCCGTGGAGGAAAGTTTCCAGAGATTTGTTTTTTTGGACTTCAGGTATACTCCAGTCAATTATTTAATTTGTATTCTTCATAGTTTCTCAGAGTTATATTCAGGCTTTTTATTACATGTTTTTTCGAGGCTTACTGACTTTTTTTCAGTATATTATAAAGCGCTGGCTTGTTGGACCGGTAGTCACGAAGGCAATGATTGAACAGGCGAAACATTTTTATAAGTCCCATTTCGGTGGTTTGGATATTTTCAATGAAGATGGCTGGAATCACATTGTTGAAGTATTTTTTTTTCTGTTTTTTACTTATAGTTGTAGACTTAATTAATTTCGCTTTTGTCGCAAGAATGATTCAGCAATCTTATACTTTAGACTTCTACTTCAGGTTCATAAAGGTTATCTTCCGTTAAGAATTAAAGCTGTACCAGAAGGCACAGTAGTTCCTGTTAAAAATGTTCTTTTCACCGTTGAAAATACTGATCCTCGTGTGCCGTGGCTGACAAGTTGGTTTGAGGTAGAAAATCATTTTTTGCTAGCAAGTTGCATGTCACTCATATCAGTTTAAAATTAATTTCAAGCAGTGAAGTCTAAGTTTACTGAATGTTATGTTTCTGGAAAAGCTATTAAGAAGTATAACATGTGGATGCAGTTTATTTTTCCAGACATTGTTAGTTCAAGTCTGGTATCCCATGACCGTCTGTACTAATTCGAGAGCTCAAAAGCTTATTATTGCTCGATATTTGCATGAAACAGCAGATTCCATTGATGGACTGCATTTCAAACTTCATGATTTTGGATATCGTGGAGCATCATCAGTTGAAGTTGTTTTTAAATCAGTTTTTCTGCAGTTCTACCATTGTTTGAAAGTGGAAATTTACTTTACTGTTATTTTTGATATCAGAAAGGTGTTTACTCAGTAAATAATATCTCTGTATTTACACTAATATTTAAAATCATTGTACTGCTTCTCATTTACATCTAAGCAGTTTTGTCACAGCGTGTAAATTTTAGTCTCTGTTGCTTTTGGTTTTTTTAAAGAATCAAAAAACATTCTGTTTTCTAAATATGCTATTATTGTATTAACTGATAGAAATTTAAGAGTGCGTCAATTGGCGGAGCAGCTCATTTGGTGAATTTTTATGGGACTGATACTATAGCTGGTTTGCAGCTATGTAAAAAGTAATTTTGCTGGTACATTATTGCCTGTCCTGTCTTTTTATTTGTAAGTTTCCCAGACAGCTTAAGTCGTATAGATATTGAATGTTTTTCAGGTATTATTCTGCAAAAATGGCTGGATTTTCTATCCCTGCTGCTGAACATAGGTTAATTATTTATAGAACACTTCAAGATTACTGTTATTTGGAATACTAATCATAATTTTGTTATCTTATATAATATTTTTCTCCGGTCATAGTGATGCTTTTCAAATAAATATATTGAACTAGATGGAGTAATTTGCAATGATAAAAGCACATTAACTTTCAGTACGATTACTACTTGGAAAAAGTCTGGCGAATCGGCTGCATATTTAAATATGTTAGAGCAGTTTCCAGATGGTTCTGTTTCTGTGGTTAGTGATTCTTACGATGTATTTCATGCTGTTTCGAATATTTGGGGTGATGAATTACGTCAGTATGTCGTGGATCGAGCTAATAAAGGATGTGTTGTCATCAGGCCAGATAGTGGTGATCCTAGCCAAGTAGTTGTAAAGGTAAATTTCATTACGAGTAGTTGTGACACGAAATTGACGAAATTGTTCAGCTTACACTTCTGGTAATTGACGTATTACTTTGTTTTAGCTTAATAAAAGCTTGTTATTATTGAATCCATTCATTGTCTTTCAAGCTTTATCGGAAAATTCAGTGTCAAGAATTACAAAGATGTTACAGCTTCAGGCTTTTCCAATGTTACAGCTTCAGGTTTTGAATTTGTTAGCCGAAAAATTCCCCACTGTGATTAATTCAAAAGGATATCGGCTTTTGCCGTCATATTTGCGAGTAATGCAGGGTGATGGTATATGTTACGAAAGTATTGGAAAAGTGAGTAAACTTAAGTTATGTTCTCATATACGTAGGTAGTTATTCAAATGTCAATTTTTTTATTTCGATTATGTTCGATGTGGAATCATCCAACATATTTGTAGTTTCCAGTTATGTCACACCTTGAATGGGACTGTCTACTTAAAATACTTGGCAGCAGAGCAAGAAATAGCCAGAAAATTGTGTAAAGTCACTACGTTGCTTGTCATCATTGCCATCATTCAGATTCTTGATGCTGTGACTCGCAATAAATGGAGCGCAGACAATATCGTTTTTGGCACTGGAGGAGCTTTATTGCAAAAATTAGATCGGGATACTCAAAAATGTGCATTCAAATGTTCACACGTGGTTATTAATGGTGAAAGCGTGAGTCTTTGACTTAAGTTAATATAAATCATAGGTGTATTTTTGTTAGTCATGTTGTCGTTTTTTTTTTTAGCGTGATGTTTGGAAGAGCCCAACAACAGATGCAGGTAAGCAGTCAAAACGAGGGAGATTAATTTTAGAAAGGCGAGAAGATGGTAGTCTCGTTACAGTGGAGAAAGGACAAGGAGATTCTTCAAAAGTATTCTCCTTACTGTTATGATCTCAGTAAATTTGTTTTCTGACAAGTATAAACCAATACATTTCGATAGGGGTCATGATCTTATTTTTCTTTTAAATAGTCCACTTCATTTATTTGAATAGTTTTTTTCTTATATGCAAGAGAAATAACATAATTTGATCACTTAGTTTGATGTGTATCAGCTGTATGTTACTGTTCTCAATCTTCTTCATTCTAGTTTTCCTTGTGCTTCAAGTAACATTGGTACTACTTTAGCGGCTTGTTGGTTGTAATTTACCATTTCGATATTTTGAATTATTTCATAGGATGTATTGGTAACGGTATTCGAAAATGGAAGGCTTCTTGTTGATTACAGTTTGGAAGAAATTCGGGATCGAGCTGAACTTGATATTGTTAAGGAGTATAAGCGGAAAGCTGTTAATTCTGATGCAACAGTGAGGACCATAAATGGTGGATCATGGGTGTCTACCAATGGTAACGTTGTTTCCTGACCTTAGTTGTATTGTATGTGTTCATTATATAGTACCAAAATGAGCATGCTCTTGAAGTTGCGTTTTTCGATATGAATAAACAGAGTCATTTTCGTTAAGATTTTTGTGAAAATAAATTTTGCTCGAATATGTCTAGCATTCAATCAAAGCCATTTTGTTAGATTTGTTTTATATTTCCAGCATTTTCAGGACTTTTTAATATTTATATTCATTGCAATACATTTGGGTAATTAATAATTGTTTCAATCAAAATATTATTTTTGAGAAAATGGTTATAAGTATCTGGTATGTGACTTTTTAGAATCCATGATGCCTGTGAAATTGTTTCGTATTCCTGGAGAATATATCGGAAAAATATAGGAGGGGAACGAGCATTATACTCCATAAATCTAGGATATATCTTGTTCCTCTCTGTTTGGAAACTTTGCAGTATGTTAATAATTATCATACCGATCTCTGTGTCTTCGTTCACTACATTGACGGATGTTGTGTATTGTTTTCATATTGTTATTGCTGTTATGTTTACCTCAGCCATCATTTATCATGTTCATGAAGTAATTCATCTGTCGAACTTGAAAAGTCATTGTACAGTAGCTGGAAAGGCATGGTGTAGGGATTGTTTAAGTAGTAAAAGTTTATTTAAATCCTTATCATTATTTTTATTATCAATACTTTTTCATGCTACTTAAAAGCCAGTAGCTTCTGTTATTATTTGAAAACATAGAATCTTTAAGCATTTTTAAGATCATTAATTATTTAAGAATTACCACATAGTCAGCATTCATGCTTATTACCTTCTGTTTAGTAATTATTTCATGTAATATTTAGTTTATTTATCAGGTGCATGATCTATGAATTTATCATTGTGTTGTCATATCTTCCTCTGTACGTAGACAGTGATTCATTCACCAGACTATAGATATTTTAGCTCTAGTATTTTTACGAAATCGTCAAATTGGTGTGAGTAGTTGGTTATAAAACCTCGTCTGCCACGTTAGTTAGTTACATTTGGCACACAGCCGATGTTACTGTCGTCTTCAGATGGTAAGGCAACTTATTTAAAGTTACCCAAGCATGAATTATCTTGAAAATTAAGATAGGGTGATGAATGTATACGGAGTTTAAAAGTTATTGTAGTTCAACACGTTAATCTAATAATCTGGATACTCTTTCGCTCTCGCATTCATTGTAAATCTGTTGATTGCACCACTGAGATCTGGCTCGGTGCATGGTCACTAAATGCTACCAGTAATTCATAGAATGCATCGAAAGATTTTGCTCGATTTTTTCATGATACAGAAATGATATAAAATGTTGACTTTTGGTTAATAGAGAATAAGTGAAGTCAAACTGTTTTCGAATGCTCAGAGTTAAGCATATCTGCTAAGAAAAAAAATGGGGCAGTGGAAGAGGGCTACAATCCTGCTGAAGCTTTCACCAAATATTGCTCTGGGCTTAGTTCTGCAATCTATGGTTTTTGACATTTTCAGCCACATGATTCTACGATGTATGAAGCAGTTGTGCATAGAATTTGTACGGCCCAAGTCTTCGAAACAGAAATTACATGATTATGTTTTCCCAGTCATTCAGTCAAAAGACTGCGTCCAGGCAAGTGTAGTTCATTATTCTTTTCGTAAGTGGTGTTTTGAATGTACGAAAGTTGCGCAATGCTGAATTGGGGATGTGCACTGTGGGGCTGATCGCACCACTGAATTTATGGAAGATTGACCGCCTAGGATTTTACGTTGCAGAAAGTGGCTTCCGGTTGGGGTCCTGGTGGACAAAATGTGAATATGACACGAAATGCAGTGTTAATCAAACACATACCCACGGGTGTTGTGGTCCGAGTTCATCAGTCAAGGCTGCTTCACGAAAATATTAAAATTGCTCAGGAAAGGTTAGTCACTAATTTATTTCTGTTGTGCGTCTAATGTGCTGTGGAGTTCGGTTGTCATTCTCTTTCCGATAATTGATTCATTTGTCTGAAAGCTGGTTGTTTGGGAGCGATTTCAAAGATTGCTCCTGATAATGAGTTGTTTGCAGAAGTCTACTCATGCTGTGGTTCTGATTTCAATCGATTCACTCATGCTTCTTTATCTCACTTTTGCAGCTAGATACAGCTCTCTCGGAAGCGTCGATTTCTTTGTTTGATGGCTTTAATGGCGGTTACTTTTATTTCCATGATTACAGGCTCAAACATGCAGTGGATCGCTATTTGAACCATGAAAATTCATACGACGCTCAATTTAGACGTTTGGAACGAGAACGAATTGCAAAAAATAAAAGAAAAAGAGCATTAACACGTGATTATAAAAAAATGCTACAATGTACAAATTTTAATTGCCAAAAGGAGGACTGCACTAGTTCTCAAAGTTCGTTTAAGTAGTTCTAAAAATACAATAACTATTCTCTTGATTCCAGGGATCATGTAGTATTTAGATGCTTCACTGACAAATTTGTGTCAAAATGCGTATTGATCACCTCTTTGACACTTTTGTAGTCAACTGTCAGCTGACAAAGTAGTTCGTTCTTGTACTCGAAAATGAAGCCTGCTGACAGTTTGTTATAAATAAAATATATTTTTGCAGTTGAGAAATGACCAGTTTCCGTGTCCTGAAACAGCGGGACTCCGAATGGTGTTCAAATCTACTTGTGCGCGTGTTTATGTATAATGAATGCAATGCCGCCTTCACAATTTTTGTAACTGCGTGGTGTACGTTTCTAATTTGTCTTGTTGTTCTACTATTTGATAGCAGTGGTAATCAACCAGTTCCTGTACACTAGTGGAAATTGAGTTATTTCCCTATTATTACGAATCCAGTTTTTGAAAACTTCGAGAAATGAAAAATAATCGTTTTCCTTCTATGCTTACTTTCGAATATCAGGATAGGTAGTGACTAAGTCATGCGTTCATTCATGGAGTTTTAAGAGTTCAAATTTCTGCACATATTGACCACGAACACTCAAATCCTAACTTCAGAAAACTGGTATTTCTTTTAGATTTCGCTGCAGTGGAGTTGGCCAACTACTGCATCAGATGTACTTTGAAGAGTGATGAATAACTTTTTATGGTTTTCTGTGTCTGCTGAACAAGAAAATTGTCTGTTCAAAAGTGTTTCAATCAACGCAAACAGTAATTACTCCTGATTCTAGTAATACTTATATGTTCTGAACTAAGTACATTTTATTACACACAGATAAAAGAGTGAGTCTCACTTTTAAATAACAGTAGCTGATAAATCTAGATACTGTGGAAAATTTCCAGCCTAATGCTCGATTCTAGATCCGGATTCTAGTCATCCAGCAACATAGTATCATTTTCAGATACTGTCAGCCAGGCTACCCCATCTTTAAATAATTTCTGAAGTTAATGAACTGAACAGCCTAAGCAACTTATGTCAGAAGATGCATATAAATGTGAAAACAGATCACAAATGTAGAGGTTTAAGATATGAAACATTTCACATAGCTGAAATATTGACAAAAAATACGCACTCATAATTTGCACTATTTATTGTTATATATGTGAAACTTCACAAAAAAGTAAATCTCCATACAATCAATTTGTCTAACCTGAGAATTCTTGCCGGGACTGCATATATGCCGAAGAGAAATGGAATGCTGAATAGCTCACCAAGATATGTAGTGTACATGAAAAGGTGGTGAGGACAACAGTTCTGTCTGTGTTTAAAAAACTTAATTTTAATGCGCGTGAAGAGCGAAATGATTGAGAGTGGGATGAAAAGCCTGTAATTGAAAGAAAAATATTAACAGCACACAGTGAGAACAAATTTTCATTATGCCAGAGACCCACGTACATCAACATTTCTCATAGTTACTGAACTTCATGTTTTCAACATCGTTCTGATCGAATTTGTTCCCACTTTATGGAATTAAAAACAAATATCTGAAAGTTAATAGAGTCGACGTTTCAACATTAAAAAGTAGAGGTGTCGTTACTTTTAAATCTTAATACTTCAATAAGACCCGACAATCCAACATGAAGAAAGACAAAAGTGAGATGCCATGAAAAATATTTAACAACGGCCGGACACAAAGACTGAGTAGCATTATCAATAAATTATATCATGAGGAAGTTTTGCATTTTTAAATAGCCAAATATTTGAAAAAAATGTGGGAATACCTATTGTACAAAGCTCTGAGACAAATTTTAATCTCACGAAATGAATGAAAGAATTTTTAGCTTATGTATACAAAAAGATCAAGAAATGGACTTTGGGTTCACGTACTAAGCAGATTTGAAGTAAATAATCACTATAATAGTAACTAATCATGACTTGAAAATAAGATGAAAAGAACAGAAAAAACGAATAAGTTTTTCTTGAATGGCTAGTGTATGACATTTTTACAATAATATAATGCGAGACCAATTTTTGAGAACATAATGTGGAATTGCAATAAAATCAGGAGTCTACAAGCTTCACGAGTAAATCAATACCTTTCCTCATAAAAGGTACTATAATAACTGATTTGAAAAGTCAACAATGTAGCGTTACTGATATCTTCAATAAGTTCTGCATAGAACGGTAGCACATGGAGACTGCATACATAATTTCTACTACTTATGTATCTCTCCTAGATACTGAATTTGAGTGCATAAGTGAATAGCATAAATTGACCTCAAAATCGTAGTAAAATACGTGCAGATTTCTAAGCAAAAAAAAAAAGATTATTATTATGGTCCTTTTCAATGAGGAAAGGTTTAAAAAAACTAGCATACGAGACAATTACTATGTCTTAGTAAATATGACAAATATATCAAATACACTTATAAGAACTGAACGAAAAGAAATTGATATCGTTTGATAATATAGATAAATACCACAATGTCAAAAGTTCAGTCGTTATTGAAACTATAATTACTTGATAGTTTGCAGAAAAAGTTTGGCCAGACGAGTCATTTCTATCTGAAAATTAGATATTTTAAGTATCATACCAATCATGAAATAATTACCAGCAAATGTAATCAGTCACACTGTGAGAACAGAAATCAGAAAAAACTGCCAACCTGATGTGGTGTTTTTCCACAAGTTATTTGAAACCATTTTTTTGAATTCTGAAAGCATAAAATTTTCATAAGCTTGTTTTCTGCAAAGGATCAGAAGATCTGACAAAAAAATACAAAAATAACAAAACTATACCACTCTGAGAGTTTTTTTTGGTGGTTTAAATGGCTTGTTATTACAATTGGTTTCACGAAGACACAATCTAGTTGGAATTCCACTCACAAAATCACCAACTAATTCCGGATTTATTAAATTAATCTGAAACACAAACTTTCACACGGTTGAATTTTATAGTAGACAAATTTTACTTCGAAAACCTCAAAAACAGCAAACCTTCCGTTCCTGTGGACTTATCCTTGTTACGGGTAAAACTAGTGATTCTGTATCAGTACTCATCATCGGAAACATAAAATCTGTATCTGGTAGTCTGAACTGATCGAATGGTTCACATAAACTATAACCAACAAGCACAATTTCCATAATAGATTTTGTGTTAAGAATAGGTTCTATTTTTCATATTACAAATAAGTATACTTTCACACCAAAAAGTATGCTCAATTTCTGTTATAATTAATTGCAGTTCTTCATCACGCGTACATCACAGTAATCTTTAGAATCTAAAAGAAATACTAGCTCTGTTTCTCCTGAAAATTTTCAACAATTCATTATGTCACAAAATTGTAAATGGAGATAATCTACTACATGGAATACTCATGATGTAATTAGCACATATCAGGAAAATACTTTCAAAACATTCATGTTGTAGTCAAATAAAAGAATGTAAGACTGAAATACCTGCTTTCCAGCGGACCATTAGCCTGCTCTGGAATAGTATAATGAGAAGGGATTATAGAAGTGCTTTGCAAAACATCGTCACTTGAATTCATTGGAGTTGACGTTAAATATGAATAACTATCATCGAAGAAGCTCGTAGATAAACTCTGAAAATCGAAATTATTAACGATACTTACCAAAAGATTTCGAACATGCGTGCATTTCGGTCAATCATATATGTAAATAAAAAACGGATATAACTACAAAACTTTATTGGACATACTTAATAAATCTCATCAAATGCTTCAGCCCAAAAAATTACTTGCGCATAAGTACAAGCAATAATCTCATTTTAAAAAAATATTTGAGTCCGGAAAAATGATTTTTGTGGTTTACGTGTAATTTACTTTTAACTTCACGAACCATATCATTGCTGAAAGCTTTGCTTGGCGTTTCTACCTTCACATATGACGAAGTACAGTCTAGTATACCATCATCATTTTCATCGTCATAAGATGATCTACAACAGAATGAAAACACATTTTAAAACTTCTGTCATTTTTCAAGTAACACAAAATACGAGCAAAAAATGAGAAAACAAGAAACTGTGTCTTTGCAAATCTTTAAAGTCATTACGAAGAAAACTATTATTAAAACAAAAGTAGTCAAATTTGGTAAACTGTTGAGATGGTTGTTACTTTAATGTGTAGCAAAATTATTACAAAAAAGAGAAATGTTTGAAGGAAGTTGACGGCATCACTCCTCTCAATTTTTTGTCTGACATACTTATCGGCACTTCCGTTTTCGGTATACTGACTCCACTGAATCGATATTCTAGAAATAGCACAGTAGAACAAAAGATACTTAATACAGTTCTAAAAATTTACTTGACTCGGAAACTCGGAAAAAGAATGGACATTTTATGAATTTACACCTAACTTCTTTCTTCTTCATTCTAATTTTGCGTTTTTACTAATGATATAGATCTTCCACAGAACTATTGCTTTCTGAATGCTGATGAACATAGAGACTTACATTGAGAAAAAAGCCAAAAAATTTTACCAACAGCTTTTCCAGGATTCGACAAACGAAATCTAGATGGTGGTGAACAACTTTCCGGGGGAGAAAATGATTCGCTATATGCAGACACATGCAAAAACGATCTGCAAGTAGTGCCGTTTGAAAAAAATTTAAATATTTAAAAAATTTACAGCAATAAAAATTTTTGGAACCTACGACTATCTAACGTGAAGCTGTTAAGCTCACGTGTATCAGGCATAATCTACATAAAGTGATGCGAACTCTTCCTGAAGTTTAGAAACTCAGTTACAGTCTTATTAAAATTTGATTGTGGAAACTTGGTGACAAATTTACTATACAGAATTGATAAAGTACAAAAAAATAAAAAAGGCCACCCATAAATAACTGACGTTTTATTACAGAGCTCAAACTTGCTTGCCAAATATAACTGCAATATCATTACTTAATATTTAGATCATAATTTCTGTACCTCAGCAATTATTTTTGTACTGCCTGAGACAAGAAGAGATTCGGCACTTTTTTCAGTGAAATGTGTTTTTACTTGAAGTTTTAATTTAAAAAATATGATTCAATTGACTCCAAGATATTGTAGTCTGTGAAAAAGACGAAAGAAACTTGCTTTAATGGAGACTGTGAGGAGGGCGAACTAGTATTAGATTTTCGTCTTGTCGGTGTTTTCAATGCAGGCACAGTGACAGATATATTGATCTGAAACGATGAACAGCCAAAAGTAGATTCATAACAGAAGAAAATGATTCAAATAAATCTATATGACTGATGTAATTACTGCTTCTTTAATTCCACATATCTTGAAAATGCTCTCGACATCCTAAAGTGCCATAGGAAAAATAAAGCACTTATTTCTAATTTACAAGCGAGAAATCATTGGAGTAAAAAATTATTTACCGCTTTTGATGGAGGCGAACCAAATAAAGACGACCCTAATCCCGAGTCTGCAAAACTTGTAGATCGCCGAGAACGCTTCCGTTCCGGAGTTTCTAATACGCTGCTTATGGATGGCCACTGAACATGACTGCCATATCCAGCAGATTTTCGGTCAAAGCCCTTCCTATCAATCGATTGCATGGTTTGACCATTAACCTAAGGTTTAGAAGAAATATTAAAAGAACTACCTGATGACTCGAAAGTACAACTGATAAACATACATTTTTAATGAGTTCTGAAGTGTAAAATTTTTGATAACTCTGTCAGTAATAACAAACGGATTAAGCACATTGTTGCAAATGCATACAGCAACGTAAACAGCGGAATATGATTAATCTAACTTTATTACCAGTTTACCGAAAACAGCAATAATTTTGTAAACTGAATCATAACTGGCAATATTTTATAGATGAAAATTATTGACACAATTGCTCAGCCAGTAACTGCAATGTACCTTGAGAATATCATCAATTGTAGCTGTGGTAAAGTGCAACGCAACTAAGGTTTGACCAATGATGGTTTGACCAATGCGTACGGCAATATTTGCACAATGACTTCTGAATACTTCCTGATTTTACTTTTTTTTGTAAACGTGAATGGATTAGTGGCGAGACGGAAAAAGTGGCTTCTGTGGAAGAGCAGCGAAATTGATGATAAGTGAAACGACTAGTGGTAGAGGAATTCTCAGTCAGACAATGTTTCAAGGTAATCTCAATCCAATATCCGCACCGTCTGCAGATGATGAATACGTCCGTGAATGAATTAGTACGTCAGGTCTCAGCATCTGAATACACTAGCACGTCAAATCACAGCATGCCATCCTATAACAGGAACCATGAGAATGATGTAACGCGCGCGATCATTTAAATACAACACGGCCCGTACAGTGAGTACTGTGAAATAATATCCATATCAGTGATAAAATATGGATGAGATCGATTGCTCATAGCTTAAGTAAAGCTGTTCCGAAGTTATATTTAGTATAGGACGAGAGTATGTTGACTGAAATAATTGATCGTTTCGTTGAAATTCTTTTGTGACTCGAAAATGCTTTACAATCACTGAAGAAAGTGACTTGTTGCGCGCAGTACCTCATCATTCTACAAAATTATAACTATCGTAAGTGCAAGAAGTGGACGTGGATGTGGGACTGCTTGCCATTTTTATCAAACACCATGATTAAGTATAAGTTGATGCATTTTTAAGTATTAACATATACCATGCAAGATATTCTCTACAAAATCGCTGTTCATCACTTTATAAAAAATGTTAGTTACGATTAAAAGATGCAGAAATACTAGTCGTTTGTGCAAGTTTACGCAAGCAAACTTATCATAATCCAAGTTTATTTAGTTTCCACGTCTTTCTTGGAATACACTGATGCTAATACTTGGTTAATTTTTAATACCAAATATTACTATGCTTGCAGTTATCCTCACTTTTTGAAATTTGAAAATGAACTCGTATCGGACTCGTTAAGATACCACTGAATTTTCTACATGTCATAAGGTATTCATAATTTGTTTGCATTGCAAATAAATGAACTGCAGTGTTGCTATAAGCACAACTGAATTAATTAGTGACTAACCTTAGATATCACACTAATCAACTTATTATTACTTGTTTAACAAGCCTTTAAAGCCTATTACACAATAGTTTTGCTGTATTGACGACGTGTTTAAGATTACTTCACGACATCGATATACCATCAATATAAACATAGCAATTTTCCTCAAATTTCTGGTTGTTTACGTTGCAATGCAGCTTCAACTAAATATATCATATAAGAAATGTATAATGTGCTGGGTATAATTTTCTGTTACTTCAAGACTTTCGTGCAACGGGCTACGTTGCATACTTTTGGCTAGTTTGTGATGAATGGAGTCAAAAAAGTAGATAGTGTGAGTAATAAATTACTGCATTGATTGCATTAGCTTATTTGTGTATTGCAATTTTTTTGCAAGCCTTAACCTCGTATTCAAAACAATGCCATGTATTTTTGTGAAACGATTTCATTTACGTAGACATTTTACTTGTCGCAGTTCATGATGAAAGTGTAATTACTGTCTACCACGAAATATCAAAGCATGTTGGATAATCTTCCACAAAATGAGAGAGCAATGTGAGAATATGCATTATTACACATTTGGCGAAGCGTGTAGCTGGTTGATTATTTCTGATAGTTTTTTCTTATCTCACTTTTACACATGCAAGCACTATGCATTTCATTTTAATATTTCTTGCACGTCTCACTGAAAGAAGCAGGCAGAAGACTGAAAGAAACAAAATATTTCAAACGTGATACAGCACCAATGCCTAATAACGTACATGTCTGTTTTTAAAAGACGGATTTTTCTCACACATTTACTTTTAGAAGAGAGGAACATACTGCAAAACTATGCATGATAAAGGAACGTTTTCACAAGATGGACTTCCTCACATTTACATAGAAGTAATCAGATGCACATTCAAACATAACAATCACAAAACACGAAAGTTTAACTTGCATTGCTCAAACTTCACGTGAAAAAAGCGACAGATCATATAAGCGTATATCGAATAAAACAAATGCTTATTCAGTTCGGCAGACTTGTTAAGTTATTGTGCGTGTCAAAAGATGTCAGAAAACAATAATGACTTGAAGAAGTACATGATTACTTTGTGATGGCATTCGAAAATCCTCTTAATTTCTTCTCTTCTCATCAAAGTACCATCATTCCAAGCCAGATAAAGAATAAAAATTATGCAACAGATGTACTCACTCACCTTTGTCTTGCTAAAACAGAGTCAGCAGAACTACCCTTATTACATTTGCCGATTACTGCTTCAGAATAAACACTATTGGCCATGGCAAAGAATAGAAAGGGTCTAATTGGTAGACATAGTAGAGAAAGACAGTAGATGTAGATGTAGGGAAGATAAAACGTATAAAGATCGAGGACTTGACAAGTGTTGCAGACGAAAGTTAGCAGATAATAATATTGAAGATTGAAAGGAAGGATACAGCATTCCGTCACATCCCAACTCCCAACTAGAGCAGTCATCTTTGCCAGATCTGTCCTCTAGCAGTCATTCAGCCATTTGGCAGTAATAATGTCTGCTCAACCATTGTGCGATTCTAAACTGTTTGATTGTACTCATTCATACCTTCTGCTTATTTAACTTCTTTTACATTGCATATTACTCTTTTAAATCTATTTCTTCCTGCAACAAAATTTACCATTTATTTTATCAGATTTATTACTGACTTGAGATGTTATAAAATCAACAAGTGACTCGTTATGAATTTTTTAAATTTCATGATTTATCAGACAGTATGTAAGTAATCATTCTCATCAATACTGATTTAACAGCGAAAGATTTATCCTTTTTGAAGCATATCATTAAGTTTTTAATTTACAAGTATCGATAATAAGTAAGCCAATTCTGTGAGACAAATTGATTGCTTCTATAAGGGCTATTCACTCCATATTGTCGACATTCTTCACTCACCCATTGCAGCCATTTTCGTCTAAATCTTCTCCGCCCATTTGCATTCTTTTAACCTAAGCTTACAGAGCTGACTGAGGTGCCTCAACGTCTACTCTATACCTTTCCTTCCTAACCGTCTTTCCCTTACTTCTCTGTTGTGTATGTGTGTATTGTATGTCAATGCGTATGCAAGTAGTGTTGTGCATTTTGATATTGGTCATTATGTGATTTACTTATGTATTTTAGTCGAGATCAACGAAAAGTAGTGTAATTCATCTTTGCATTCAGCTGTAATCACTTGCGATTTCACTCTTGACTACTTGTACAATTATCTCTAGCTTTTGTATATTAATTGTTATTGCTTTAAAAGACGTGAATTACATAATGAATAGAGTTGACTTGAACAGCAGTGTATGTTACAACTTTATAACTCAAAATGGGGCTATGTGATATTTTAAAACTATATTGTAAGCATATAACATTTTGGAGTTTCGTTTAATTGAGTATTATTAAAAGATGAATTCAATTGGATTTTCATTGCAATAAATTTGCTTGTGAATATGTAAAGAAAGAACAGAAATGGCCATGTTTATCTCTAACTTTAACTTAAGGAGTCATTTGCGTTTTTTGTTTTACTTCGTTTTAAACTATTTCTTTTTATTCTTTCAATATTTGCAACATTTTATCTTCTTTTATTTCAATATTCACACCTTGTAAACATGTCAGAAAATTGCTTCTTCTAAATGATACTTTGTCAAGCAAGTTTGCATGCTTGTATCCATTAAAAATTCCGATATTTGATCATAATTTAGTATGAGACATTGTATTATGATTGATGAATAAAAACAGAATGCGAACTCTGGTGTTATACTGTATTCCGTTTGGTGGAAATAAGTGATTTTTTAAATTCCCTCGTTCATTAGTCATGGTTCAGATGTCAGCCTAACAAATTTAGATAAATATTAGGTGTTTTTAGACTTAGGATAGCTTACTTTCATCTTAAATAAGGAATTAATAGGTGCAGAATTGATTTTGCGATTTGGAAATTTTCTTTTCGACGCTTAAACACTGGAAATGTTGTCAAAATTCCTATCCAGGAAGCAAACCATCGTAATTCTTTAGCAGTAATATCAACATTAGTAAATAGTGATGTCAACATATACCTAAGAAGGAGGCATTTTGTTGCACCTGAAAACCAATTTCCTATCTTTCATTTAAGATGGTGATAACGGTGATCAGTCTTAGTATCAGTATCAGTATTCGAAATTTACTTCTAATAGGTGTACTAATTGTTATGTTTTTCTTGCAACAATTAATTAGAAAGCATAATTTCTTGAAGACATTCCGAAAATATCTGAAGTCGGATTGAAGATGAAATGTCATATGAAGAATTAAAAATGATCTAGTAATTTTTGGCTAGATGATTTAAGTGGACTGAAATTGAAATTTTTCGATTGTCCTTAGGGATTAAAGCTTGTCTAATATACTTGATCATTTCTGTTCGAACGCAGACTTCATACTCAGTCATTAAATGATGCGTCGAGTTCTTTCATATCCATTATTGAATTATTTTTGTCTTCTATGGTCTCTTTTATTTAATTTTCTACGACTGAAACCCTTGAAAACATGCATCAATTATCTTCCCTCTACTTTCTGTTTCTTAGAAGATTTATTTCAAAGCTTTAAGACATTATGAAGTTTTGAAGTACTTTTTACATTAATAACTGATTATTTTTTTAGATCTAGTGCACTAATTTCGGAAGTCGCAATGTTTGATTTGATTAGAATTTAATTGTTATGAGAATAAATGTCACATCTCATCTGATTTCCTGTTGATTTCGAAGAAAAATGACTGTTGTTGCATATCTTTTATTGCAATCGGATTGTATTTGTAGCTAACTATTAAACAGCTATCTGTTCAATGAATAAAGCTATCGATACTTTTGTGTATCCAAGACCATACATTGCTTTTTTTTGACCTACTCACGTCATTTTTGTGAACTCTTGTGGTCTGCAACTATGTCTGACATGTTTGCCCTAATTTTACCATGCTTATTATGTCTGACTTCTATGAAGCGATTGCAACATTACCCTACAAAACAGATGTGTTGAGAAAGAAACAGTAAATTCCTCAGATTATTCTTCGCTGTCTGCCGAAAAGAAGTCAATGTATATTTAGGTTAGAACAAACAGAAAGATCACATACATAGCGAAGGTTGAAGTGGTGCATTCATTATGGTATAAAGTTTGTATAGATTTGTTTCTGCGGCTTTATTTTCTTGTTTTCAAATGTGTCATTGTTAAATTAATCCATTAACTGTTTCTTGAGGCAGGAATTCCTTTGTTGATTTAAGATTGGTTTCATGTGAGACGAGATGGTAGAGTTTGCTTGTCGTATTTATTTGCAGCTAATATAAGTATTGTTTAACCATAGGGAAAGGTAGAAGTAACTGAACTTTGTCTTTGAGTATTATACTTTCGGTAGCAGTGATGAAGCTGTACTGAATATATGTTTTTTAAACTGTATAGTAAAAGATTTAAGCATATTGAGTGTTTCCTTATTCTTTTTCTAGTTTTTTGAGAGAAAGAATCAGAAAAATTTAATAATGCATAGATAATGATCTTGACACTTATAAGATTAAGCTTGTTTGTTTAATCTTAGTCTGTCCTATTTTTAAGACCACATGAAATTAACTGTTTGCGTTAAGAGGTTTTCAGTTTGTTGTCTTGTTTACTAGTGCTCGTGCATTGGTTCTAAGTTAGGCTTATTCTTGGACAATATCCATTTTACTTTGATGATAAATGAATGCATTTGAAGTCACAAAAGTATTATTTTCACATATTGCATTTATTTCATCGAAACTGTCAGTATGAGAAAGTCTAAGTATTGTCAGTGCAAAATTTCTTTCCTCATTTTTTTTCGGAAAACTTTTCTGATATATGCAGAAAATCGATACGTCTAGTCTTTAGTTTAAGATGTGTGGGCGTTGTTAGCGTAGGATTTGATTATTTCAAAGTGGGGTCTGTTGATTTTTCACCTCATGTTCATATTTCCGTCATTGATAATTAAAAAAAATTATCTTGTTGTTCTGATTAATAAATGTAATTGCTTTGAATTAATATGCGGTTTAAATGTGATGATTTATCACTGATATTGCGGCAGATTAGAGATTCGGAGAAAAAGTAGCTGTAAATCAAACTAGATCATATCGATCAGTAGTTGTGCTTTCCCAAGCAAATGCAACGAACAGTTAATGCTGGCTTATTTCAATAATTTTTCCAAGTGTTTTATTTAAGATTTGGAAGAATCAGACAACGACTTTGTTTTCAGTTATTTAGCAAGTTAGAAGAGGTTTACTTTGTTTCGCAATACCGATTTAAATTTTCACTAGGCATTAGCTTCATTTTTGCTAAAGGTTTACAGTTTTTATTATTTTGAACGAAATGCTAATGAGGTGTATAAGTATGCTAAGATGGCAATATCAGTTTTTCAATCTTTTGGTGTGTAGAATGTATCATTTCATAAAAAGTATGCTGATCAAGCTAGCTTGTGCTTCCTATTTTTGGTGAGAACTATTTTCTTTTGCCTTGATTCATCTCTGTATTATATGGGTTTTTTTCTCATCTGTCATATATTTTCGTAGCATTTCTCTCTTGCATTCCTTACCAAATTGAGTTCTTGTCTTTTATGATGTGCAGAAACATGTAGTATATTCACTTTGTTGAAATGTATTCCTTTCACCTTTCGATCACTTGCGATTACTGATATAGATAGTTTTATAAGTTGCTTGTTATCATATAAATCTTCAATTTAGTTTTTCTTATAAACAGTTGCAGATAACTCTAAATGTGCTAGTAGACAAACCGCTTTACTTAGTTTGGAGAACTCTGTTTTTTTAATTTAATATGGTATAGCGCACCGTTCTTTTGCATATTTTAAATATTGTAGGATACAGATTACTGATTACTGACTATGCAAGCCTTATATCAGTTGTCGGCAAATGGAACACCACAGCAGGTATTCCATGGTTCTGGGCAACCACCAGTTTCATTTGCAGCTATGAAACAATTCATGCAAGCGGGTGTTTCACCTGTACTTTTGCAGCAAATTCAGGTTGCACAACAACAACAGCAAATTGCAGCAGCTTCTGCAGGTATTCATCTTTGATCCTGATTCTAGTGATCTATGACTTTTATTCACTATGGTGAGGTGCAAAAAAAGTAGTATGATAACATCTTGAGAAACAAGGGGCAACATACTTTCTGTTCACATATTATCGCTGGGAATGATCATTTCTGTTAATTTTCTGAATATGAATCTAGTATTGATAGAAGTAATCTTATGCAGGCAAGATGTAAAAGAAACATCTTTCACTTTTTTATTGCAAGCCATATTTAATACTAAGGAAAGTATGTTGAATGGGATCGAATAGATCATTGCTTCAAATAAATGATTTTAGGCGATAAGGTAATATTTGGGAGTAAGAATGGGATTAGAGTTGATATAATTTTCATTGAAAAGTTTAGTAAATGTTATGTAAATTATTTGGTGAATTGAAGTGATATTGTGTTCATTATTTTGTTGGATGATGAGTTTGATTAATATATTTTTGGTTCTAGTGTAATATTGTTGGTAATCAGTTTTTCAAATAGAGTCAGATTTGCATCGGTTTTTTACTTAATTTTGCTTAGAGAAAGAAGTAAATATTGTTTGGGATAATGTCCGAGATTTTTTCGGTTTCTAACTATGATTCAGAGTCAGCTAATCATGGAACAAATTGACATGGTTTTCTGCTTCCCTCTTAATGCTAATTTGTGGCATGTTGCCATATGCAAGTATTTTGAGCCAGTGGTTATAATCCCTCTTTATTGCTCCAGTTTTTTGCTGTGTTTTAATTAATAGGTGAAAAGGGAATAAATCATTTAGGTGAAAAAATTTTTCTGCTGTCAATGAAGCAGTGCTAATCATAAGTAACTGAAAAATTTTTTGAAGTTTTGATTTTGAGTTCTTAGTCATGCACCAAGTTTTTTAGTTAAGAAAATCACAAGAAGGTATGAACTTAGAAAGTCTGTCAAGTAAACTTGCGCTATTAATGTCTATTCATAAATAGTCCATAATATGCTATGTTTTAAAGATAATTCATGGTCGTCTGCATACAATATTTGTTGGTAATGAAGGTAATGAAATTATTGGGAGACATTTTATTTATTAATTATATATATATATAATAAATAAAATGTGAAGGTTAGTTTCAATTTCCGCTTTCTTGATGCTATCGCTGGATCGCATTCCGGCATTGTGACAGTATTTGTCCTGTGCTCAGATTTGTGTGCTTATCATTCTCGGTTCTTCCTCGTGAGATCCGTATCGACTGTCGAAGGGAATGCTTTTGAACGTCTTCTTAAGAACTACCGATTGGATGTATGCCTCAACGTGGTCTGATATACTAATCTTTTTCGCATAGCGTTTGTGGAAGTTCGTTACAATCCCATCCCAAGTCATCACATACGGAATTATTTTAGTCCTGCATTTCATCTCTGACCCAAGCTTATTACCAAGTAGGTCATATTTTCTCAGTCTCGACTGCTGTTAACCTATCCCTGACTAGTGATGCTAACCTCAATCAGGATTACTTCACATTCGCTTCTTATCGTGTATCATGATATTCGGTCGATCCGCTTTTATTCTGATTGCAGTTCTCACTCGCCTATCGAATCTGATCTCAACATTCTCATTCGGGACGACCTCCTGAACAGAATGGCTTCGCAATCGCGGGAATGCTTTCAGAGCATACTTCTTGCAGAGTCCCAAGTGGATGCATCGTTGGACCTTATTATTTCTTCTAGTATAGTCGTGATGTTCCATTTTTTCGCACTGCATTGCTAGGTGCTCCACCGTCTTCACACGTTCCCCACAATGTCGGCACATACAGTTGCTTGTGAATTTCGTACTAGATTAGTAACTGTCTGATATCGTTGTCTATAATCTTGAAGTCTTCCGGCTCCAGCTTGAGCATTCCGACGTAATAATTTATTATGACGTGCTCATTCACAGCTTTGTTCTAGCAATTTAGTGCTGTTCTGGCTAACCGCTCAATTCTTATTAAAATCTCTGCACGGACTTCCTCGCAGCGTTCACGGGCAGGTGCACTAGTCCTCTCTTCCACTATTCCAAGGTATTTGTATCCTTGAGTTCCTTCCAATAGCGCCGCTTTATCAGCACATACCTCGGTATTAGTGGCTGACTTTGCTGAATTTACTTCTAGTCCTTCCACATCAAGAAACCTTCCAACTTCTTATGCCATAGATTTCATGATATTTTGAGATCATCTACAAACAACAGATGATTCGTAATGTGCATTCATTGATCAGTTGAAACCGCGAACTTCGGGTACATCGACGGCTCAACGGGTCCATCATGCACAGGACGAATAGCAGCTGAGAGACGCTATCACCTTGGAGAATTCCTCGTTATATTTTCGTCTCCATTATTGTTTCTCTGTTGCTTTTCAATGTAACCGACCATCTGGAGGTGATGCTTCTCAGAAAC